AGCTTCTCCATGTAGTCACCTCTTGGGTCAAAGTTTTCCATGGAATCATGGAATGGTCTTGGTTGGAAGGGACCTTTCAGATCATTGAGTCCAACCATCAACCCAACACTGACAAACCCATCACTAACCCATGTCCCTCAGCACCACGTCTGCCCGGCTTTTAAATCCCTCCAGGGATGGGGACTCCACCACTGCCCTGGGCAGCCTGGTCCAAGGCTTGACAACCCCTTAGGTGTAGAAATTTTTCCTAATATCCATCCTAAACCTCCCCTGGGGCAACTTGAGGCCATTTCCTCTTGTCCCATCGCCTGTTCCTTGGGAGAAGAGACCGACCCCCCCTGGCTACACCCTCCTTTCAGGGAGTTGGAGAGAGGGAAAAGGTCTCCCCTCAGCCTCCTTTTCTCCAGGCTGAACACCCCCAGCTCCCTCAGCCTCTCTTCACAAGACTTGTGCTCCAGACCCCTCACCTGCTCCAGCCCCTCACTGTCTTTTTTGTGGTGAGGGGCCCAAAACTGGACCCAGCCCTCGAGGTGGGGCCTGACCAGTGCCCAGTACAGGGGGGCAATCACTGCCCCAGTCCTGCTGGTCACACTCTTCCTGACACAGGCCATGCTGGTGGCCTTCCTGGCCACCTGAGCATTCTGCTGGCTTGCATTCAGCTCTCTGTCGACCAACACCCCGAGGTTCTTTTCCAGCCACTCTTTCCCCAGCCTGGAGCATCCATGGGGGTGGTGGGACCCCAGCGCAGGACCCAGTTGAACACCTTTAGCATTAATCATGTGCCAGCATCTATGTGGCCCCAGGAACTGCATGAAAACTCTGCCAAAACTAGGGCTTACCAGCAGCTGCAACCTCTGACTCTTTCACCATTTTTTCACCATATCTGTTCTTTCACCAAAGATGTCTTTCGCTTCAGACGATGACGCTTTTTCCCAATCCATCCGTGCCAGTTGTCAGGTACAGACCTGTATGAGAGAGAAAGAAACAAGAATAACTTGGTTTTGGAGGACAATGACAAGCATTCACTTGTTAGCCACACCTCGGTAGCAACTCTCACTTTATAGTAATTGCCCACTGAAATACAGCTGTCAGAGAATCGTAGAATTGTCCAGGTTGGAAGGGACCTTTCAGATCATCAAGTCCAACCATCAACTCTGATAAAACCCATCACTAACCCATGTCCCTCAGCACTATGTCAACCCGGCTTTTAAATCCCTCCAGGGATGGTGCCTCAACCCCTTCCCTGGGCAGCCCATTCCAAGGCTTCATAACCCTTTCTGTGCCAAAATTTTTCCTAATCTCCAATCTGAACCTCTCCTGGTGCAACTTGAGGCCGTTTCCTCTTGTCCCATGGCCTGTTCCTTGGGAGAAGAGACCAACCCCAACCTCTCTACACCCACTTCCATCTCTGCTGATCAGGCTTTGTAATTTTTCTGCTTAATCCTACTGTTTTTTTGGGCAAAGTCCATCCAGAGAACTCTGCGGCCAATTTTTGCGTGGTTAAAATTCTGGATGATTTTTGCAAGCATGACTTAACAGAAACCCAGGTGTTCAGTGTGTCCCTGACCCTGAGGGTTTCCATCCAACTGCCCTCACAATGTAGCGCCCTCTTTTTTTTCTTTTAATTTTTTAAGTCCATCAAAATTCAGAGCCTTAAACCAGACCAACTTCCACTTAGACTCTCAGTGATTTAAAAGGAATGGACACGTTGTCTCTGCATCCAAGGGTAATTTCTAAGAGCGGGAAAGAAATGGCATCTACAGACATTTGAAGCTCCTCCAGGACTTGCTGAAAACGTCATTCACTTCTGCTGAAGCTGGAGATGGCCTCCAACGTGAGTGAGTTCATCCAATTATTAGGAATTTCTCAAGCCAAACCACACCATTTTGCAGTAAACAACTTATTTTGTCTCATTTCACCCAGGCACCTACCCAGCTTCTTGCCTGGAAAATCCTGGTTCAGCACTTCCAGGGCCAACTGGAGGCAGAGGACAAGTGCCAGGAGACTGAGACTACAAGGCTTGGTCCCACTTCTTTTCAAAATCTAAATTATTCCTCTGCCAGCCTCTGCCTCGTGATAAGCTTCCCCAGATAATTTTCTGGTACAGAAGGACATTAAGGACAGGGAACTGCTGGAGAGGGGACAGCAGAGGGCTACAAAGATGATGAGGGGACTAGAACATCTCTGCTGAGCAAAGGCTGAGGGACTTGGGTCTTTTGAGTCTGGAGAAGAGAAGACTGAGGGGGGATCTGATCAACACCTATAAATCCTTCAAGGGTGGGTGTCAGGAGGATGGGGCCAGGCTTTTCTCAGTGGTGCCCAGGGACAGGACAAGAGGGAATGAGCACAAACATGAACATAAGAAGTTCCATGTCAACATGAGGAGGAACTTGTTTGGTGTGAGGGTGGCAGAGCCCTGGCAGAGGCTGCCCAGAGAGGTGGTGGAGTCTCCTTCTCTGGAGACATTCCAAACCCTCCTGGACCCGTTCCTGTGGGACCTGCTGTGGGTGACCCTGCTGTGGCAGGGGGTTGGAGGAGATGATCTCCAGAGGTCCCTTCCAACCCCACATCATTCAGTGATTGAATCTGTGGTAATTCAACAGTAAAAAAGGGGATAGTCCGTAAAAGCAACAGCCCATAAAACAAATCTTCCCCTGAAGAGCTTGCCATTCTAGATGGAAATCCTCAGAGACACGCAGGTGGCTGAATGGGGCTGAAAATAGCTTTTGAGGCACCAGGTCCCGACCGAAGGGACCGTAGGCAGATGTGTCGATTTAGCAACCGAAAGTCAGACGTGCTGAGCACCAGCAGGCAGGGAAAACCACCGAAATCAACAGAATCGCACAGAATATGCTTCTGCTCGGTCTCTCCCTTCAGTTTTGAAGACACTCACGGGTGCCTTTGCTTGGATTTCACCAGCGCCGTGTTTTTTTCACAGCAGTTTGGCAGAAGAGACCAGAACCAGCCTCTTTGGCTCGTGCTTTATTCTGCTGCCTACACCCCTCCCTTCTAAAAAAACTCCTATTTTGTTACAAAAAATTGTGCTTTAGACAGACACCCCTACTGCCCCATGGTCAGACAGGTTTATTTTTAACCTTGTGCAAACGATGGGGTGCAGGGAACACCTCGCTGCTGTTTCAGAAGAGAGCTCCACAAAAAGACCCCTGTAGGCAATACCTTCTGGGGAGGGGGGGAAGGAACCAAACCCAAATTTTGCCCCCACTAAAGATGGAGGTTTGTACAAACAAGGTTAGTGAAGGAGAACTGTGGCATCAGCTGACACCCTGCTGGGAGCTGGGCTTGCACCCTTCATCCCTTCGAGGAGAAACCTTGCGTGTGAGCGCTGCTGATGCAACACAACAGCTCCTTGCATCATCCAGCTGGGGTGTGAGGGGTTCGCAGTAGGAGAAAAAGCTCAGAACACTGATTTTTGGGGTCTTCGCACAGCTCTGGGGTTAAGGACCCAGCCAGCAAGGTCTGGGAAGACAGCCTGTAAAGGTGGCAGGGAGTTCTGTCAGGAACTGGGATGCCTGGTGGCTTTAGCCTCGTGAGAGCCTGGCAAGAGCCACCAGCCCTGAGGAACCAAGGGTCGCACATGGGCCATGTGAAAAGGCTGTAGCTGGTCACAGGGCTGCTCCTCCCCTGCCCGAGCAAAAGCTGGAGAACACTGGGACATTTACCACGTGCTGCTCGTGTTAACTGAGAGAAGGCAGCAGAAATTCAGGCTACACTGATACAGTATCCCTGGGCCAAGAACGGGCCTCCCCTTTTGTCTTGATGTAGGTGTTTGGAGGCCCTTGCGAAAAAAAGTGCTATTAAGGCTGGGCTTCCCTTAAAAAGTGGCCTTTTCTGTGCAAGACACATACATATTTAAAAAGTGGCCTTTTCTGTGCAAGACACATAGATATTTCAATCCCTCAAGGGGCGCCAGGAAAGCTGGGGAAGGACTCTGGATGAGGGAGGGGAGCCCTAGGAGGAGGGGGAAGGGTTTGACCCTGCAAGAGGGGAGATGGAGCTGAGATGTGGGGAAGAACTTGTTTGGTGTGAGGGTGGTGAGAGCCTGGCCCAGGTTGGGCAGAGAAGCTGTGGCTGCCCCATCCCTGGAGGGGTTCAAGGGCAGGTTGGAGGGGGCTTGGAGCAACCTGGTGTGATGGGAGGTGTCCCTGCCCAGGGCAGGGGGTGGCACTGGGGGGGCTTTAAGGTCCCTTCCAACCCAAACCATTCCATGAGTCTATGTGCTACAGAGACAGCTCTGGTCATTGCAGGTTACACTGCAATGTTTGTTTTTCAGCATTACACAAGTGATCCCAAATCTGGGACAAACCCACCACCTCCCCCCCGGGTCCTCTCCAGTACTTCCCTCCTTCAGGAAAAGTCTCCTTGCCCAGACAAGTTCTCCTGGGACCTGACTCAGCCTTTCATGGACCACAAATCCCACAGAGCCCTTTTTCCTAAGGAAAGAAATCCCTCCACGGAGCGGGCAGAGCAAAAATTCAAAAAAGCAAATTCAGCTTTGCTTTTGCTGTTGCTTTATGCTTCTTTTACCCCTCCCCTCTCTCACCTCCTCTGCTTTGACTGCCAGCTCTTTGGGGGCAGGTCGAGCCCTTTGATACAGGTTTGCAGAGAACCTGGTGCAAATGGGAATCTGACTGCGAAGCCTGAGGTGTTTTTATGATGCGAGTTGAATGATCTTTAAGTCTGATTTCTCAAAACTAGGAGCCAGAGCTGGGACTGTGGGCTCCCTGGATACTTTCATCCCTTACACTCCTTGTCTCCAGGTGGGAGAGGGCCACTGTCCCTGATCCCAAGCTGTCCCTTAAGGGTCAGGATGGTTTTGCACTCCCTTTATTGCTTGTTGGTGATGAACAGAGTAAAAACGCACAGTAAGAGTGCAACCCCCTCCTGCCCCCCCTTCACCTCTGAAAGCCAGAGGTCTCTGTGCACCAAACCTGCCTGGTTTCAGTCCCTGGCCACATTTTCCACCCTGTCGGTGCCGGGCTGTTTATTTTAGGAAACAAAGAGCTGTATCATTTGCACACACCCTTATAGGCAGGCACCAGCTCTCCGCTGGCGTTCTTCAAAAGAAGGGAAGGCAAGATGAGGAGCTCTTTGTTGCTGTGCGTGGCCTTGGCCGTCTCCTTGGGCTTCATCCTGGTGGCAGGTAGGTGAGAAATGAAGAGCGAGGAAAACGGCTTCAGATACCAGTGACGGGGGTTGCGTTAATTGGCCATTAATTATTTTAACAGCCAAAAAAAAAAAAAAAGAAGGAACCTCAAAGCTTGCTCAAGCTGTCACACTTCAGTGGTGCTCGGACACCTCAGTGTCTTTCTGCACCACAGAGCCCTGTGGTTTTAATTGCTGCCTGGAGGCAAATTTAAACTGCAAATTTAAGACTTTAGCCATTTTTGATCAGTTTTCTGAAGCAACAAGCCACAAACAGGCACGCTTGCTTTTCTGCTGTGCTCGGAAGCTCGCAAGGCTCTTACCTGCTAGATTTCAAGGCTTCTAAACATCTTCCTGGTAACCTACGGCCAACTTATTTCTGATTAAACTGGAGTTTATCGTGTAACTCCGCTGAATTTCTTGGAGACTCTTGATGTAGACTGAGGCAGGTCCTTGGAAAAGTCCTGCTTCCTCTGAAAAACAACCAGCTGTATAATCCCTGAGCTGAAAAGGCAGAAAACGTTGAGAAATACTGTGTCAGTTCAACACAGAGCCCACTCCAGTTTTCCCCAATCATGCATAGCTTAATATATATATATATATGCACATAAGCAGCTTAGAGGGGAAGTAAAATTTGAGTTACATGCACCTACAAGAGTGTTGTTTTTACTAATTAGATTGAAATGAATGCATTTTGGGGCTAATTGAGCCTCTTCCTGCTTTATTAAAGTAGCCCCTTGCACCTGCAGCAGAGTTTGAACAGCTATTTTTGGAAGGTGTTTGCTGCAGCTGGGGTTCGTTGGGCTTCACAGTGGTTCACGGGACAACCCCACAGTGGAAGATGAGAAATTTTGTCAAAATAATCTGAGTGTTGAGGAGGGAGGGAACACCATTTTCAGCAAATCACGCGCCAGAAAATCCAAGCTGCAGACTTTTAGAAGGGGGTTAGAGAATTTTGTATTTAACTACCTTCTCCCCAAAGGGACTTGACTGGGTGATACGTGGAAATATCGCTGATAAAACTTTTTTTTTGCAGCTTTCTAATTTTACTTTAAAAAAAATAATAATTTAGTACCTGGAAATTTTATGGTTAATGAAGCCAAGAGTATTACACAAGGAATTAAATCAGGACAATATTTTTGGAGTACAGTCAGAAAACCCCCTGCAGATTCATAAAAGAGTATGTAATTTTATAAGATGAATTAAAGCCTCCTCCCAAAGGTTCTGGGACAAATCCCGAAGCAAATAGGATCTGACTTGAATATTGGCTTTGGATTAAGGGCTTAGAAAGAATTGCACTCAATGTTACATAGAAGACAGTGACAGACATTGGAGGAAACTGTATGTGAAAGACAAGAAGCCAGAGAATTTCTATAAGAAAAAAGAAAGACCAAGATTTAAGGAGGCAGAGACTGAAGAGGCAGAAAAAAGGGCAAGATCTATGGACCTGTGGTCGCTTCCTCCACTGCCCCAAGCAAGGGAGCAAAGTAATTTCCTTCCTGATCAAGAAACTTCACAGTGAACCTGGTCCAGAAGGTATTCTGCTGGCAGTTGTCACAGAAACAGCGTTTGAAACCAGCAGGTGAATTGTAGGGCACCATTTTACATAGTTTGGTGCCTTTTTTTTCCCAGTTATGGGGCCTGTAAGGATCTCAGCAACTCTCCAGTGGAGTGGAAGTAGATGAGACCAGCATACTGTAGGGGCAGAAAGGGTGTTCCAAGAAGCCTTAGGTAGAAAGTCTGGAATGCTATTTTAAGTACATTGTATGGAATAGATATTTAAGGGCTCTGGCAATCAATACTGTCTTTCTTTGGTCTTGCAGACAGCTTTATGTGACAATTAAGCAGCTAAAAATCAACAAATTTGCAGCACAACTCAGAGTCGATGTGCTGCTCCTGGATCCCTGGGTTTGGTACCTCTAAGCAGGCTGAAGGTGCTGTGGGAAGAGTGATGCTGCAAAGCAGGGGCTGTGAACTTGATTTTAGCAGCATTTAGAAACCCAGAGGGATGTAAAAACAACTAGTTAAGAAAGGTGTGACTGTGCGTGCGTATAAAAGCTTGTTACAGGTGAAGAGATTAGAGGCTCTGGGTTGGGGAAAACCAACTAGCAAAGAACAATTTTCAAATTTCAGATCTATCAAGCTATTTCAAATCCATCTACTTGCACAGTGAGTAGGCGGTGCATGCCACCGGGAACATTCAAAAAGCCTCTGGGGGACAGATGGGCTGTTTTACTCTGTTTTGACCCAGTTTCATACTGAGTAACATGCTAAAAGTACAGGAGATGTAGCCACTCCAGTTCTTCTCTATTTGAGTGAGGTCCTCAGCTGCCAAACTCAACTTCAGAATGGACAGAAGACCAAAGAATCAGGACTGGAGTTTTCCCTGCAAGCTTCAGTTACTATAAGGGCCACTTACCTTCTGCTGCCAGGTCACCGGGCTGCCTTCTTGCTGGGTCCTGTAGAGCTTTTTTGGCTTCTGATCCCTCAGGGACCTGAAGGACCACACACCACACAAGGAAAACTGTCACATCTGCCACACTGGCCAGGTCAGAGACATCCAGTTAGAGGCCAGATCCAAACTAGGGTTTGGGCTGCTACAGTAGTGTAGCTCCAGGCTTGCGAGGGGAATTTCTTCCCATTTCAGGAGAAATTTCATCTCATCACTTGGCTTTCTGTTAGAGCAGGTTTTGAGGTTTTTCCTTGTTGACTGTGGGACTGTGTGTCCTGTGCTTGCAGGTTATCCCCGGAACTCTGACAACGATGAGTACGTGCTGGTCAACAACAAGTGTCAGTGCGTGACGGTGACCTCAAGGTTCGTCCCCTCCAAGGACAATCCCAATGAAGAACAGTTCTTCTCTATTTGAGTGAGGTCCTCAGCTGCCAAACTCAACTTCAGAATGGACAGAAGACCAAAGAATCAGGACTGGAGTTTTCCCTGCAAGCTTCAGTTACTATAAGGGCCACTTACCTTCTGCTGCCAGGTCACCGGGCTGCCTTCTTGCTGGGTCCTGTAGAGCTTTTTTGGCTTCTGATCCCTCAGGGACCTGAAGGACCACACACCACACAAGGAAAACTGTCACATCTGCCACACTGGCCAGGTCAGAGACATCCATTTAGAGGCCAGATCCAAACTAGGGTTTGGGCTGCTAGAGTAGTGTAGCTCCAGGCTTGCGAGGGGAATTTCTGCCCATTTCAGGAGAGATTTCATTTTTGTCCCTCCCTTGGCGTTCTCCTCACTTGGCTTTCTGTTAGAGCAGGTGTTGAGGTTTTTCCTTGTTGACTGTGGGACTGTGTGTCCTGTGCTTGCAGGTTATCCCCGGAACTCTGACAACGATGAGTACGTGCTGGTCAACAACAAGTGTCAGTGCGTGACGGTGACCTCAAGGTTCGTCCCCTCCAAGGACAATCCCAATGAAGAAGTCCTGGAGAGAAACATACGCATCCTGTAAGTGGCAGACGAGTATTAGATGGGGAAAAGGAGGTGAAGTGTTATAGGAGTTCCTTTTTCTTTACATTATTTCCCACTTCCTGGCATTGATGAAGAAAACTGTTTTTTCCCCGTGGGCTGCTCTGTGTGCTCTCCTGGAATATTTCCCTTTTGCTTCATGCTTTTCTAGCTCACGTGAAGTTTTCTGGTGTCTGTCCCTTCAGATACTTAAAGCATCTCCATGTTTTTAAGTGGTCCAGTGGTAACTTTACAAAATAGGCTGGGGAAGTCAAGTGTAACATTGATCTAATCTGTAACCAAACTGGGTCCATGACACCAGACTCATCTACCAACTTAAAGCATCTCCATGTTTTTAAGTGGTCCTTTACAAAATAGGCTGGGAAAGTTGAGCATAACATTTCTACTGTTGATCTAATCTGAAACCAAACTGGGTCCATGACACCGGACTCATCTACCAATCTGTTAGCAAGCCAAGACTGCTATCTTATAGGCTGGGGAAACTAATTAATGCCTAAACTATCAGAAAGGGTTAATCCTATGAGGCAGATCTCAGTTCAAGAGTAGGATTGTGTCCTCTTTGTTCATACAAATCTTACAGAACTGTGTGTGTCTCTCTTGGAAAAACGGACTCAGGGCTGCAGGAGCTCTGGCAGAGCTCACACCAGGAGAAACACTAATTAAACATCTCTGTCTACATCTTGCAAGTGTCTCAGGCACCTGCCAGCTCAGAGTTTTAAAAAAGACAAAGATTACCAGCACTGTCACCTTGGAAGTGGCACTTTCAGTCCTTTTGGGGAGGGTTGTTACCTTCGGGGGCACAGAAGGGCCAAGATCTGTGTTCCTGGGCTCTGCTGTTAAGTTTTAAAAAAGACAAAGATTACCAGCACTGTCACCTTGGAAGTGGCACTTTCAGTCCTTTTGGGGAGGGTTGTTACCTTCGGGGGCACAGAAGGGCCAAGATCTGCTGTTCCTGGGCTCTGCTACGGAGAAGGGTCAGAATGGAAATAACCTGGAGAATAATATAAGAGCTGAGAAATGTTCACAGCAGAGTAGTCTCCTGTTTAATAAGCAGTTTTCATGAGAGTGCTTCTCTTCCCTCCTTTGCAGAGTCCCCCTGAAGGCTCGGGAGAACATCTCTGACCCCCTGTCCCCACTCAGAACCACTTTTGTCTACCGCATGACTGAACTGTAAGTAATTTTATTGACTAAGTTCATTTCCTAAGCCCTGACCTCCCCTGCAGGATTGCCCACAGCAGCTCAAAACCATGCTTGAAAGCCAGTAGAGAAGGTGAGGCAGGGTCATGGAGGAAACTCTTCCCAGAGCGTAGCTCTCATATTCTGTTGCAAGCCGAGAAATTATCTCTGTGATTAATTCACATAAAAAGGTCTCACATTTAGTGGGAATGTTTCATTCTGACTCCTGTTCACGGAGACATCTAGATGTCTCTCAAATGTCTAAAATATCAGCAAATTACACATTGCCTGTTTAACCCTCTCTTTTGGGGACCAGTTTTGCCAGTAGCAGTTTGACAACACTAAAAGAGCCTGGCTGGGAGTTCCTGTGTAAAACCCAGAAGGGCCAGAGTACTCTCCTAGCTACATCTGGGGATCAGCAAGGAAGATTTGGGGTTTACCAGGGGAATCTTTCCACTTACTTACTCTATTCTCCATCTCTTCTAGGTGCAGAAAATGCGATCCCGTGGAAGTGGAGCTGGGTGGTGAGGTGTACCAGGCCCAGCAGAGCAACTTCTGCGACGAGCCTGAGACCTGCTACACCTACGACAGGGACAAGTGCTACACCACGACCTTCCCCTTCCTCTACCACGGCGAGATAAAGAAAGTCCCAGCAGTTCTGACACCAGCTTCCTGCTATGCTGATTAGCTCCAGCCACGGCCCTACTAATGCCTCGGTGTGGCCAGTGTTCCTATCAAAAATACATCTATAGCACCCTAGTACCTAGACGACAGTGCCCAAAATACCAGCTCCCAGAGTAATGCCAACTTGCATCCCTATTTTTTTCAACAGCAGACCAGTGCCATCTCCCAAGAGAAGCTACTGGTTGTCATAGACTCTGTTCTCATAGCCCCAGCATCCATCTGCAATGCCATTATTATCTGTCTCAGACATTATCACTGCGTAGAGCAGATCCTCAGTAGGTGTAAATCAGTAATTCCCTTGAAGACAAGGGAACTGCAGTGATTTACAGCCCTGGGGAACCTGTCTTTTTGTCCATCTTCCATCAGCCTTCATCTGAGCATCTGGACATCAGCAGGAATGTCCATGTACTTCCCCGCCTTGAGCAATCTGTCCCTCTGCACAACCTTTATACAAACCCCTTCAATTACATTAGCAGAATTTGTGCCCTTACTCAAAGGCTGTTTTAGACTCACGTTTGAGAGAAAAGATGAAGGATGAGAACCAGAAATTCAGACTTCAAAGTTATTTTACACTTGGGCATTCTAGCCCCTTCCAGCACTAAGGCAATCGCAAGCTTCTAGTTTTCAGGTACATTTGGAGAAAGATGAAAAGATGCCGCTACCCTGAAGTGTTCTGCAAAGCTGCCAGGGCCTCAGCTGTGCCGGGAATAGCAATCTCTTCTAGGACACCTTAGGTATTCCACTTTCCATGCTTATGTGCTGATATCGCTGCCTTCTTCCAACTCTGCTCCCAGTTCTATTGATGAAAAAAAAAAAAAAAAGCAACCCAGGTTGGCTCAAATTTATTAATTTTTTTTCTGCATTAAGCTTCAAGTAATTCTATGAAGGTGACTCCATTGCTAGAGCAGGACCCTAGTGAGGGATTCAGTCCTTCTTTCACACCAGTAGCCTTTTTTTTCCTCTGTACCAGAAACCCTTGCCAAATCAAGGAGGTGATTCTGTACCTCAGCTCACATCTCAGTCCATCACACCGGGGATTGCCCATGGAGACATCTTATATACGAGCACACGAGGTGCCCAGCGTTACACCTGGGGTGGCTGCTGTTTCTCACTGTTGTCAGAAGGTGATTGTAAAACCTTTAGCTGTTCTGAAAAGTCCTTATCTGGCTTCACATGTAATTGGAATAATAAAACAACAAAAAACCCCAGTAAAACCTTTAGCTGTTCTGAAAAGTCCTTTTATCTGGCTTCACACATAATTGGAATAATAAAACAGCAAAAAAACCCAAAACCCTTATTCCCATAATTGTAGCCTTGTTAGCAAAACATTAAATAAAGGTTTTTCTGCAGCAGTCTGTGTGTTATGTTCCAGTTCAATAAGAACTTGTCAGAAAAAGCCAAGTCTATAATCATATTCTTTCCTCTTTCACTGTGAAGCAAGAAGCACTCCCTAAATAACTACTTACAGGCAAAGCCTCCTGAAATACTGGGATAGAAATATTATGAAGCACTCGCAGAAGCGGTGACAGATTGAGGCTGAACTGGTTGGTGATTTTAGGATCACTGAGCTGCTTCAGGGCCCTGTGAGTCAGTGCAGGATCGGAGTTTAAAAACCCAAACATCCCCTAAATGGCTCTTGGAATTGCGAGCCACAGATCAGATTTTTTACCTCACCACTGAAAAAAGTGCCTTTAAGACAGGCACGTGGGGGGCTGGCCATTAGTATGCAAGGTGGCTGTCCTAAAGAAAAATACAGTCTTGTGGGGGGTGAATTTTGAAGAGCAAAAGAGTAAAGAGGACTGAGACATAAATTATTCTGATGTTACATCAGAGTTATGGAAAATGAACTCAGAAAAATGTCTTTTTTTCCCCCTCCTTCACGCAAAAAGCCAATTCAAAGGAATGAAAATGCAAAGGGAGGGACATGACTCCTGCCATGCACTGACATGGCTCTAAGTATTTCAGTGGTTGGGTACTCAGCTCACTGAAATTTGTCTTCCAAGTCCTGGTGTTCCCCAGCCCCAGAGTGCTGTGATGTTAGAAGTCGGTAAGTCGTGGTGAGGCTGCATTTCATCTCCCAACACAGCTCCTTGGGTTACAGCCACAGGAGCTCGTCGGTTCTTGGGGCTCTGCCTCTGCCCTGGGACCATCTGCCTAAGTGTGAAGTTCCCACATTTGTTTGTGCACCCTGGTGTAAACCCAACAGGAGATTCACACTTACTCACAACAGGGCTGGAAACCACCCTGCAACACGTCTCGGGAGACCAGCAATGCTCAAGAGATGCCTTCAGGAGAGAAGAAATCAAAGCTCAGCCAGTTTTCCAAGCAGCCATGAACAAGTACTTGCTTAGACCATCTCTGGCAGAGCCACTGGGAAATAAGAAAAAGTGTTCAGTAAAGTCCCCGTGTGCTGTTCAGCTTTATAATAAAGCAGGATTCATTCCCCTCACCAAGCCCTCGGTGCTGGGTTGCATCAGCCAGGTTTTAAATAACTCAAAGCAAGTTAAATCAGGCTCTGAATCCTCGCCTGAAAGACCAGGAGGAGCAAGTGAGGTCTGCATATCCCTGAGAGCGTACTGGGGGGAATCTGGGATCTTTGAGCCAGGGGAAGAGATGCTGATGGACAAGAGAAATTCTCTTTGATGGGGGTTGCCTTAGATGTGCCCACAAAACCATGTCCTGCTTTGAAAGATCATGTTTCTCAGACTGTGTGGTCACTGCTTCAAAGGGGAATTTTCTGGTGAGTCCAGATGTGGGGTTAAAAATGCCTCCCTTGGCATGAACTCCTCTGTTTCCTTCTCTAAGTGACAGTGGTGGGACAAGGCTTCCCACTTGGGCTTGCAATACTCTCCTACCAGCTCCAGCTTTTTCTTCACAGCTCAGGTTGGTTATAGAATCATAGAATCATGGAATGGTTAGAGTTGGAAGGGACCTTCAAGCCCCCCCAGTGCCACCCCCTGCCCTGGGCAGGGACACCTCCCACCAGCCCAGGTTGCTCCAAGCCCCCTCCAACCTGCCCTTGAACCCCTCCAGGGATGGGGCAGCCACAGCTTCTCTGGCCAACCTGGGCCAGGCTCTCACCACCCTCACACCAAACAAGTTCTTCCCCAGATCTCATCTCCATCTCCCCTCTTTCAATTTAAAACCACTACCCCTCATCCTATCACTACAATAACTCAACTGGTTCTTTAGCTGCACTTGCTGTGTCTTGAGTAGTTCATCTTAGTGCATTTAAGCTAAATTAATTTTGTCTCAGACTTGCAGGAATACATTTCTATTTTATCTCCTCACAGACTACTTCTAGACTTAATTCTTCCCAAGTCTGTCCTCCTTGTCCCAATACTGTTAGGTTGCTTATGCAATATTGAGTTAAAGAAGGATTTCACATGAGTTTTTTTTTAGAAGTCCTTTTTAAAGCATGGAAATCTATCCTCATAACCCTGTTTCCAGTTTGACAAAAAAGTTTTAATTAACAGCAGGAACTACAGCACACACGGAAGCTGAGCAAAACAAACTAAAACCACTACCCCTCATCCTATCACTACAATAACTCAACTGGTTCTTTAGCTGCACTTGCTGTGTCTTGAGTAGTTCATCTTAGTGCATTTAAGCTAAATTAATTTTGTCTCAGACTTGCAGGAATACATTTCTATTTTATCTCCTCACAGACTACTTCTAGACTTAATTCTTCCCAAGTCTGTCCTCCTTGTCCAAATACTGTTCGGTTGCTTATGCAATATTGAGTTAAAGAAGGATTTCACATGAGTTTTTTTTTAGAAGTCCTTTTTAAAGCATGGAAATCTATCCTCATAACCCTGTTTCCAGTTTGACAAAAAAGTTTTAATTAACAGCAGGAACTACAGCACACACGGAAGCTGAGCAAAACAAACCCTTGAGCTCAAAGACACTGTTTTACAGTGGGGAATTCAGCAAAGAAAGCAGCTTATGACCACAAGGTAAACCAGGCCAAGCTGCAGCTTAACTCACAAATAGGCCAAAGGGCGATGGGACAGCCCAGTTCCTGCCCTGGAAGGGCTTCAGCTGCCTTTATGAGGTATTTTTGGTGTAGTAATAGGTAACAGGCTATGATTTTTAGTGGCCTTGCTAGATTAAGTCTGCTCTTGTCAGCGCAAGGTGTGTCCGTGGTGGGATCTTGACATTGAGGTGCTGGAGCAGGTCCAGAGGAGGGCAACAGAGCTGGTGAGGGGTCTGGAGCACAAGTCTTGTGAGGAGCAGCTGAGGGAGCTGGGGGTGTTCAGCCTGGAGAAAAGGAGGCTGAGGGGAGACCTTTTCCCTCTCTCCAACTCCCTGAAAGGAGGGTGTAGCCAGGGGGGGTTGGTCTCTTCTCCCAAGGAACAGGCCATGGGACAAGAGGAAACGGCCTGAAGTTGCACCAGGGGAGGTTCAGATTGGAGATTAGGAAAAATTTTTCCATGGAAAGGGTTATTAAGCCTTGGAATGGAAGGGGTTGAGGCACCATCCCTGGAGGTGTTCAAAAGACAGGTTGACGTGGTCCTCAGGAATATGGTTGAGTGATTTTTATTTCTTATTTATTTTTTTTGTCAGTTAGGTTGATGGTTGGACTAGATGATCTTTAAGGTCCCTTCCAACCTAGATGATTCTGTGATCTTTCTGCAGAAGAGCACTGCTTTGTCCGCTCCCGGTGGAAGGTGTCATGTTTTCAGTAGGTGTATGGATTGCAGCCAGTTACACCTTAGAGAATTCAGAGAGCATTTCTTTATATTCTGTAAAGCAGTAAGCACAACATGGATGCTTAAAAAACACTAATTTGTTGGACTAAAAGGCAGCATGTTACAGCACAAAACATCATCCGTGCCTTCTAGCCAAGTCCAAGCGCTGCTGAGCGGTTTGTGCCTGGAATCTGGGAGTCCAAATCCAATCTTCAAATTATCCGTCCATTTCAGAAGTAACTCAAAGCTACCTCTAATTTGACCCTTGTCATTCAGCTCTCCAGCCCTTAGATTGTCACACGCAGCTCCTCAGCTTTGCCTTTGGAAGGACTGCCCTCTAGAGCATGAACAATGTCCTCCCTTTTTACTGTGTAGCAAAAGCATCCTTCCCCACAAACCATCCCAAATAATTATGACTTTTCATAAACCTAAAGGTGAGCTCTTTTACCTTAACCTGGCAGGGCAGTCTCCTTAGGAGATGAGGCCTCCTGACAGCTAACTGGGAGGGGGGTGTGTGAAATCTCCTGGCTCTTTGGTGGTTAAGAAGTCAATTGGACATGGATGACTTTCCTGAAAAAGGAAACAACAAAACCCCCCACTTTCTAAAGCAAACTTAACAATATTTTTTGTATCATGATACTTATTCCATGCTTTACTTCGAGTGTGCTGAGCCCTATTAATCATGACAGGACACTAGGGGAGGTTTAGATTGGAGATTAGGAAACATTTCTACACTGAAGGGGTTATTAAGCCTTGGACCAGGCTGCCCAGGGCAGTGGTGGAATCACCATCCCTGGAGGGATTTAAAAGACGGGTAGAGCAAGACTAGGAGCAAAAGGCTTAATTTTCCCACTATATTTCCCACTGTTCTCCATCTGCAACACCCAAAGAAGCACATTCCAAAAGTCCCCAGTGGTGCTGGAGACAAGGACCTGCTTTGCTTTTGCTTGCACCAAGCAGAGAAAGTTAAAGAGCTGGAGACTGGGAAAAGAGGGATGATCCTGTAAACAGGCTGAGAAATAAAGGCAATATGTGATATACTCTGCTATCTTGGCTGTATTCCTACCTTTTCTATTCTGATTAGATTCTCTCCCTGCTCTGTGATGTCCATCTGTACCAGCACCTGGTGATCACTCAGCAGATAACGCAGTTTCTGTAATCTGTTGGCAGCAAAAGCCATCCCTGAAGACATCAAGACTACTTTTTTTTCATGAATATCCAGCGCTGACCATTAAGGGAGTCTGAGAACCTCAGCCTGCTTTCTCCAAAGTCCTTATAAGACATTTTCTCCCTGCTGGAAGTAAATGACATTAAGTAGAGGTTAAAGGCTGTACTCTAACAAACCTGGAGTGCATTTAGAAGGTAAGTGGATGTTGAGCTCCAAGCACTTTTACCCACACTGGCCAGCAGTCTGCTGCTGCTCAGCTTCTGAGAAAAGGTTATAAAACAAAGACTTAATTTGTATGGAGGACTTCCAAAATTCAAGCATTTTCAACTCACGGAAAATCCTGGCATTTCAAAAGTTTGTTTTTAATCAAAAAATTGATAATGTTATAGAGCTCCTGTTTGAAGACATTTATTTTATACATATATACGGCTTCAGTGACAAAAATATTTTGAAGCTGTACGTTCAAGATCGGCAACATTCCTCACAAATGCCTCATTTCAGTTGACCACAACTTCTCCTGCTTTCAGCCGCTCCACATTTCATTTGTGGCTACCCAATTAGCTTAACATTTCGAGCAAAATATCTCTGGCAGTTTCAGAGAATCACTGAAGAGTTGGCAGCTGAACCAACCTTCATTTTCCAGAGCCTGGAGATAAAGAGTCCAACCTGAACAGGTTGGCCAGAGAAGCTGTGGCTGCCCCATCCCTGGAGGGGTTCAAGGGCAGGTTGGAGGGGGCTTGGAGCAACCTGGGCTGGTGGGAGGTGTCCCTGCCCAGGGCAGGGGGTGGCACTGGGTGGACTTTAAGGTCCCTTCCAACCCAAATCCATTCTGTGATTAAAGGATGTCCTGGTGCAGCCTCTCAAGCATGAGATGATGGGCAGGAGGGAAGAACCTCTGAAACCAGAAGACAGGAAGGTGGAAGAGGTGAAAAAAAATGGTGGGGAAGGCAGAACTGAAGGTATACAGAAACGTGCAAAATGGGCATGGGGCAGAACTGGTCCCTTGAGCTCTTCCTCTTCAAATGGTCTCCTCTTTTGACTTCCTTCAAGTTCCTGCAGATTTTTGTTTTACTTCAGAAGTGCCGTTGGTCCAGTTCTGCTGGAACTAACAGCTGTCATCTCTTGCTTATTCTGACCAACGCCGGAAAATTCTTTAAGAGACCCTTTTAGTCTAATCCAACCTTGAAAATCGTTCCTATTTCCAGAGAGCACATGCTTTTTTCTTTTTTTTTTTTTTCCTTTGCAAATTATCTTCCCTCTTCCATCTTTTTAATGCAGCTCAATTTTTGACATTTTATTTTCAATTCCAAACCTGCACGCTGTTTTCAATATTATGAATGCTGAGGCAGGAGTTGGAGCATGGAAAACACCCAGGTCACAAAATACACCAGCAACAAAGGTTGACCCAAGACAGAAAAAAAAGTGTTTGAAGTCCACAACATTTCCAGTCAGAGTGTGAGAACTTCACAGTCTGATACCATCAGACTGGCTGATGGTATCAAAGCCCTGCTCTGAGATGGTTTTAAAAAGACCTCAGGAAAGTCCTTTTCCACTCTTTAGGTTCTTTTGAAGCCAACAGAAAGTACGGGGCTGTCGTTTGAAACGGAAGAGGAATGTCTCAAAGCTGATCCTAGGAGCTGGGTGGCTGCTTGGATGATAAAAACACTTCTGTGCCCCAGAAAAAAAAAGGTGAAAATCTGTATTTGTCACTTAAAATGCCATGGCATTTCAGACTCACTGAAGTTGTTATGAATCCTGACTGGCGGGTGACACTGTAAATACCATTAAAAAGTACCTCAAATTAAAATGATTGTGATTTTGTATTATATGACAGAGGAAGATATCAGTGGCCTCAGTGGATGATGTGAGCAGCATGAAAAAAGTGGAAGAGACAGTCGTTTGGCTGTCTCAAGCAACGGATGCTGGAGCAGGGAAGTTGGACTAGATGCTCTCTATGATCCCTTCCAACTCTAAAAATTCAGTGAATTTCAGTGAAAATCATGGGCAAGAGCTGTTTACACATGGATAGACCAGAACAGACTATACCCTAAAAAGCAGCAAACAATTTACGGCTTGCTTTCTTTGCCTTAATAAATAAATAAAATCAAATACCTTGAATATAAAAATACAGCAAATGACTCATCTACTAGCTTACTTCTAGCTCCTCCTTCAGTGGTGACCTGTAGCAGTGGATCATCTGCAGGTGGGCAGGCAGCCTTTTACATTTCAGCTGGATAAATCCCTCGACTCCGTGAGCGCAGGCACCTGCCTCCTCTGTCTCTGCATAAAAAAGCCTGCTCAGAAGTGGATGGAACACTGTGAAAAACAGATCTGCTCAAGAGAACGGGTAATTTTCACAATGTAGGTTATTTTTGAAATCAGTACTTATTTCAAGTGCCCAGGCACACTCGGTGGACTGACCTGAAAAAGGTGCTGATGAAAGAACAAACACCCTCCCTGAAAAGTTTAAGGCAACGCGTGTTTTTGTCAGAGTCTCAGTAAAATCCCGCTCATCGTTCCAAAGGCAAATCACAAATTCCAATGTGGAAGATTTCACCAAGTACATCCTCCCATCACGTTATTCTTCAAAACATTCTTTTTGCCTCAGTTCAGTATCTCAAATGGTTTATTTGACTGATGGAAAAATACAAACCAATGTAAACAAAATATTCTGGTTACATCCACATAGTACTTTCCTACTGAAATATTATTTACCTAAAATTGATTTAAAGATATAATACTCAGTTTTCCTAGGAAAAGAGGATTGCATCTGAGATCAGATGGAGTACCCCTGTGCTCATAATCTGTCCTATTTCCCTTCCTGCATTGTATGGATGTAAATACTTCAAGTCCACATTACTTGTTGTAACTTCTTTTACTTTAGGGTAAGGTACTTTATTCAATACATACATAATTACACACACAAGTGAAACCTCTAGTAAGAAGCATCTCAGACAAGCAATCTTTGTCTTAAGAATGCCCCTTAGAGATTTCAAACATCATCCCCTGAGGCTTCTATACTTACACTGTTCAGCCTCTGCTAAAAAGGCACCACTATTAGTCAACACTTTTTTCTGACGGTTTTAGCACTATATATTCTGCACTGCATTTCAGAGGAAAAAAAAAATCCACATTAAAAAGTAACTAAAATCATTTATGACTGAAAAGATTAACTCGGCATAGGAGCAGGATCAAACAGCTATTGCTGTGTTCTGTGACTCGGTTGGCAGGAACACCACGTTTACAGATCCCTGATGCAGAGCTCTACTCCAGAGAGGTTTCTCGATGAAAAATCATGATGAAATTAAAGTAAAAATAAATCCAGGATGTAATGATCGACAGGTGAAAACATCAGGCTTTGCTTGATGGTCTTTGCTTGAAAAATAAATAAGCCTTTAGCCAGGTGTTATATTCTGCTTGCCAGCAGGGAACAACAGAAAAAAAGGTTTGAAACAGAAAAAAAGGGCTTGAAACAGAAAAAAAGGGCTTGAAACAGAAAAAAAGGGCTTGAAACAAACAGGCCTTTTGTACAAGCTTTCCCTGGTGTCCAGTTGTTCTTCTGGGTCACAGCGTGTCTACAAGAACGAGCCCTGCTCAAGTGAGTCCAAGTGTGTGTCTTTTCCAGAGGGGACTACTAGAAAAAAGTACATTTATTGCCCTCAAAGTGCAGAAGCCAGAGGAGCCACAGGTTTCCAGAGGGGACTACTAGAAAAAAGTACATTTATTGCCCTCAGAGGACAGAAGCCAGAGGAGCCACAGGGGATGATGCAACGTTTTGCATCAACTAAACATTATTTTGTAAGAAGCTTCTGAAAAGATGCTTTCTGAAATGAAGCAATGCCAGATGGAAGTGTCGTGGCTGTAAGGGTGGGTGGGAGCTGTACCCTCCCTTTGGGCTAGTGACTCTGCTCACCAGTTGCCTTTTTTCAGGGACAGCGAAAATTCCATCTCTAAATAACAAAAAAAATCACAGTACAAAGCTTCTGAAAAGATGCTTTCTGAAATGAAGCAATGCCAGATGGAAGTGTCGTGGCTGTAAGGGTGGGTGGGAGCTGTACCCTCCCTTTGGGCTAGTGACTCTGCTCACCAGTTGCCTTTTTTCAGGGACAGTGAAAATTCCATCTCTAAATAACAAAAAAATCACAGTATGTGTGACAGCAGAACAGGGACCACAACAGGATAGGACACACACAGACCTTTCTGTCCCCTCTTGTCTGGACCCAAAAAAGTTACCATGGGCAAAACAAATACATGGTTTCTCTTTTCTAACAAAAATGACAGTATTTCCTCCTGCTCCATCTCATTATTTTTATGATGTATGAACTATGCTTCTATGATTAAACATATTCAGGTGTTAACTACAATGAACAAGCATTTAAATACAATTAATGAGTGTATTGGGAGGGAAAAAACAAGGTACAAAGTAGCTGAAGGAAATGTAATAAACAATGAAAATCCAGGAGAACAGAAATACTGGAAGGTTCTTCCTGTCTACGAGGTGAACCAGCCTTAGCAAATTCAGGATATTTCAAATTCCTAAACACAGCTCAGGATTTTAAACTAAGGATACAAATAAATTATCATGGTTGTTAGTGTCACTACGAAATGTCACTCCTGCTGCTCAGTTATGCTCTGTCTCTCTACTGCCTCAGAGAAAATGTGATTTCTCTGACATTCTCTTACAGCAATTCTCTCCTACCTTCTTTCCACAACTTCCTTGAAGCCTCCAAAACTGTATTTCTGAACTGTCAGTATCACTATCTCCAGCTGATAAAAAGGTTCATGATGTTTAAAGTCCATATTAAAGCCCACAGGGGTAACACAAGGGAGAGGAGATTATTTTGGAGGTGTTTCAAATGGGAACTTTTCTATTCATTGAGTATTAAAAAGATTACTTTGGTCTGCAATGTTGTTCAGCTGTTGGAAGGAAGAAATAGACATCAATGAATATAAAATTATGGGTCTTTACCTGTACTCTTACCTGGCTCAGAAAATGTCTTTTCAGTATCATTCTGGATGTGTATACTCCATGATTTTAATTTAGTAAAGGTAATGCCTATTACTGTACAACTCTTTCAACACAAAGTGTTATGCAAGCAGTACAGATTATGATGATGTTATTATGTGCTCCTGTAAAAAGTATTTAACAAGTGGAAGACTATGATAATTTGTTCACGTTGGCTAAAACTAAATACTGAAAACAACTTTTGAAATACGCATTTTTAACTGACAGAATGGAGACAAGGGAAACAGTCATTTGGGCTGAAACCTTTTGAAAAACTTTACATTCTAATTTGCTTCCTAAATCATCTTCGACTGAACGGGTCGACACTTAGAATCTGGATTTAAGTGAACGCCAGTATCAACAAACTTCAGTTTAAATTAATGCAAAGGATATCGTCTAACGGAAAAGAAATTCCTCACTTTACTAACTACTTCTAAAGTCTAAAAAGTTTCAAAATGTTGTTCAATATGTGCAAAACTGCGTTTAGTGTCTTCAGAGGACTCCAAGTGGCCAGATGTCCCTCGAACCATCTCTTCTCTCTGCAGACGACAGGAGGTCTGTGGTTTCTGCTAAGCCCCGTGGGGACAACTGCTGGGCCAAGGTCACTCCTGCACCTTTAAACAGCTGGTCTGGATATGGGAAATCTGCAGAACTGGAAGCAAGAGCTGGAAAGCATCCCGGATATAAGTAGTGCTGTTGCAGCCCTGATGGGGAGAGGAAACATGTGGTTCATCAGTACGGTTGCCACGTATTTCAGGGATTACATTGTACTTTTTAAATAAACTCTTGTGTTTGGTTTGGTTTTTTTACCATCTGCATCACGCTAGATTTTAGAATCACACAAGGTTTTACAACCTGGAGATAAGAAAAATGACAAATTACAGCAGTTTGCAGCTAACAGGGGCAGCCCAAATATATATATAGAGAGATATATAGAAACCTGATTAAAAAAAAATATATATCTAGAATCACAGAATCACAGAATCTTCTAGGTTGGAAGGGACCTTAAAGATCATCTTGTCCAACCATCAACCTAACTGACAAAAATAGACACCCGCACAACAAACAAGAAGCATCACCATCACTAAACCAGACCTCCCAGCACTACATCAACCTGTCTTTTGAACACCTCCAGGGATGGGGCCTCAACCACCTGATTTCCCCTCAGTTTGAACTCTCGGACACTTTTATTTGTAATATGAGTAGAATAAAATGCCAGCGTTCAGAAGTAGATTTGACTTTTTAGATACAAACCAGCCAGTCTTTCCACCAAGAGAACTCATTTTTAATTTGCTGCAGGTGGAAGAATTGTCACTGAAATGAACAGGTTTTAACACCTACTACTGTTTTGGGAATTTCTAATACTGAATGGTGTAGCAGCTTGTAATTCCGCAAGAACCAAGGCTGTACTAAGACATATTTGTATACAAATATGGGATTTAACACTGCACTCCACAATTCTGGACATTCTGGATTTTACAAGTCCTGGAGCATGTCAGCTAGAACAGCAAATTTACCCTATAACAAAAGGAACTGTAACAAAAAGGATCTTTACTAGAGTTCTGTTCAACTTTCTATGATTTTCCTTAAAGGCATTGTTAATTCAGTGCAAAATCGCTTATTGTAGAACAACCTTTTCCTCATTCCTAAGGGAACTATTAGATACAAAATGACAATTTGCAGTCACTACTATATGTTTATTTATGTTTAAAGAGAAGAGTGATTTAATTAACAGAGTGAAAAGAATTCGTGCTGCAGATGGTACACATTTTGGAACTTTATGAATGTTTTCCTCCCTCTCGACCTCTTCTCAGTGAAACTGAGGCACATTTTACTCACTGTGCTTTTCTGATGGAAAATACCTCACGGTGTCTAACAGAAGAAGTCACTCCTAGAGAAAAGTGTCTAATAAAAGAAATCACTCATGAAGATCTTGGTGATGTAGTTATCCAAGCCTGCTGCTAGACTCTGATTTTTTGTAGAAATCTAACTGCCCGTGGATGGGAAGCACTGCAGCACACCTGCAACCCAAATTTTAAAGAACAGAGTAGCCTGAAACTACCTGTGTATCAGAAAGACTTTGCATTATTTGATGAATTTTGCAGCATATTTGCAATTTACAGTATATTTGCACCATACTCTAACAGAACAGTAAGGATAGGCTCATCCTAGGCAATTTGTAAATGGGTTAGAAAAGGGTTAAAAGGCACATTGTGAATTTTGTCCTGTGCTCTGACCTACCCAGCAGGATTTGGTCATACAGCTCTTAAGACTCCTCAGTAAATGCAATATTACTAATATAGTACTTGTGGGAGAGGCTGAACGCATAAAACGAGAGGTTTCTGAGCTGGCACTGAACAGCCAGAATGATATTGTTGTTACTTTTCATATAGTTCTTTCTTCAGACACAAATGTGACTGTTTTATTTCAAAATCACTTTACTAGGACCTTTCCTACTGTGAAAATATCCAAGGCTTACCTCTAATTGCACGCTGTCGATGATGGGGTTAAGAGCCTCTGCCTTCATATTGCTCTGTAAACCAGAAAATAAGATTGAAATGCCAAGGCAAGAAATACATTTAACAGAAATATATGACTAATATAGTACTTGTGGGAGAGGCTGAACACAAAAATTAGAGGTTTCTGAGCTGGCACTGAACAGCCAGAATGATATTGTTGTTACTTTTCATATAGTTCTTTCTTCAGACACAAATGTGACTGTTTTATTTCAAAATCACTTTACTCGAACCTTTCCTACTGTGAAAATATCCAAGGCTTACCTCTAATTGCACGCTGTCGATGATGGGGTTAAGAGCCTCTGCCTTCATATTGCTCTGTAAACCAGAAAATAAGATTGAAATGCCAAGGCAAGAAATACATTTAACAGAAATATATGTGAGAAGTGGCTTTATGAATTCTATAAAGGCCTCGCTTCATCTTATTCTTATTCAGACTGTTTTTCACAGTTTTCCTGATGACTGCATCTCACACACATTCAGCAGACCCCACGTATTTCCATCACTGAGTAAAATGAACTAAGATGGGCCCAGGGTTTTACTTTTTCATCAATTTTCAAATTGCCTGGTTTCCTACGGATGTGAGATTTATGCAATGACATTGTCTGTCCATCTGTCTGTCGGTGCCCCTTTTCATCTCCCCCCAAAATTTTTTAACCGATTTTCAACGAAACAAGAAGGAAAAATACAGGTCAGAGGAAAATGGAATTTCACAAGTATCTGTGGTTAGAAGGAAATTAGCTCCCCCACAGAAGGAAAACCAGGTGAAACTCAAACTGGAGGCAGTATTTGTTGAGCTGGACAAGGCAGACTGGCCAGTAAATAGAGCTCAGAGTGCATCATGGTTTTCTCAACCCCCAGACAGGAATAAAGATGGCTATGATGAGTAGTGACACTACTAGAGGTGAGAAAACCAAGATTGGCCAGTTCTTCTGCTTTTTAGAACAGCTAAAGATAGAAGGAAAACCAGGTGAAACTCAAACTGGAGGCAGTATTTGTTGAGCTGGACAAGGCAGACTGGCCAGTAAATAGAGCTCAGTGTGCATCATGGTTTTCTCAACCCCCAGATAGGAATAAAGATGGGTATGATGAGTAGTGACACTACTAGAGGTGAGAAATCCAAGACTGGCCAGTTCTTCTGCTTTTTAGAACAGTAAAACTTCTTTCCTTTTTTTTATTCTCACTGTTCTTTGCATTGTGTTTTTTTAAAAGGAAAGGACAATAACTTCCAGCAAGAGTTGCTTTCTTTCAGTAACAGTAGACTTTCTTACAACAAAGGAAACACAATACCAATTAATTTAACTAAGGATTTCCACTTACAATTTGTAGCTTCCATATTACAGATTTAAAGAAACATGAACCCCATAATTTTCATTTGGAGAAAGGTGGCGGAACAAAGGGAAGATGGGTAGAGAAAAGGTGAGCAATTTTACTGACAGTAAAAATGCAAATAAGCATCCCAAAATGCAAAATAAGCAGTTTCTCCCAGAGTAGTGGGAAGGAATGTACATCATTCAGAACAAATGCAAGCCAATAAATCATGTTCTCTAGAAATAAATCTGAAAAAACATGCTCAGAGATGTGCTGAAGAGCAGCCTGGGAAAGAAAAAACATGCTCAGAGATGTGCTGAAGAGCTCATGGCAGAACTGGGAAAGGCTGAGTAGGAGAAGAAAAATATCATTAAGTTGTGGGACTTTCAGTATGAGAAGATAAGAAGTGCTGTGGAAAAATGGGAAAACGTAAGGGAAAATGAAAAATGGTGTCCAGAAAGAGAGATTTTAGAAGGAGGGGACATGCTGCTGTGTATCAAGGCTCATAAACTTTCTCTGCAACAGGGAATCTGCTGTAAGAATGCCCTGAATTCTCGATCTGAGGAAAGAAGTCCCCTCTTTGCTACTACCTCGTGTAAAGCCACAGATAATAATTTCTGTTTTAAGAAGTGAACTATGTTAAAAAAAGCCCAAACGCTCCAGAAAATGCTGTTATCTTACCCCAGCTGCTGTTAAAGAGTCGGAAAACTTCTTTGATAAACATGCAACTTCATTGCACATGGCACTCGTTAAACTGGTTTAAAAAAAAAGAGACAAATATAAAAATACATCCTCGTCCTGCATATAAAACCCTATGACTGTCCCAGGTAAAAGCTTCATCTTAGAAGTCAAGAATGTTCTTAAAACAATTTTGCTTCTAGTAATTCTCTAAATATTTTGGTGTAGACCTTTTTCATGATACAGTTTTTATGTTTCTCCACTGAAAAATCATTTTGGTGTAGACCTTTTTCATGATACAGTCTTTATGTTCCTCCACTGAAAAATCCACTGTTCACTACAGCAGCAAAATGACGTCATGTTGACTCCAGCACCAGTCTTTTTTGATAGGGCAATGTTTCCATTTTTTAAATTCTAAACTTCTCGTTTAATTATTGTTTTTCTGATGCCTGCAGCAACACAACTCCTAAAAATACTGTTGGAAATAAATCAATACTTGTTCGAGTACCATGTTTTAGACTGATGTGTTGCCATGGACTTTGCTATCATTACCAGCATTCTTAAACACTTTCTTTAATACTTTATTACTTAAGACTCAAGCCCTTACAACACCTTCATGTCAAACCCCACTGAAATCAGCAGAATCAATTACTACAGAGAGATTGAGATCTGAATTTTGAGTCCCACGAGATAAACTGGCTCCTTGAATTTATGTATGTTTTGTCACGGTTTACCACAAATTTGCTGGCAACTTTGGTCAGCAAAACAGTTCAGAAACTTATTGTTTAGAACTGCAGATTAATTTTTATATATTTTTGGCAGATAAACACTAGCTAAGGAAACGACTGGCAGATAATAAAACTGCATTACACACTCCAAAAGCAAATTCTGTATATGCTAGCACGGTGTCATAGCAGAGGAAATTAGCAACCCTAAATCAGCATGTACATTCACTTGCTGGAGCAGAAACAACTTTCAGCCTATGAATAGGGCACATTTTGTAAACTTCCATATGTTAACTGTGTCCAAAAACTACAGGTTTTCATTGATTACATGAAAAATATAGCACCAGGACCCTTAAAGCCCATCCTGTTTGCTGATCCGTGAACTTAGTGTGTCTTCAAGTGCCAAAAGCTGAAGAGAACTTCCTGAGTTTTAAGCAAATATCAAATGTTCATAATACTCACTTTGTCAGTACTTTTGCTTGATCTTGAGCTGTTTTTTCTACTTCCTGCCCATGTAGAATTAATTCTGCTACTTTATGAAGCTGTTCAATACAACGAGCAGTTACCTCAGCCAGACTTTCAATGGACAGCATGTAGATTTCCTTAAAATAAAAACAGGTAATAATATCAATAGTAATACCACCAATAAATAAACATATAAAAGAATCTGAAACATAGGAGCTCCCCCTCCCTCCACATTTGGAAATACCATCACATACACAGTGAAGTAACATCAGCCATAACGGCATCCTTACAAAGAATACTGGAAAATGAAATATCCACAGATTATAAAGTACAGACCTTATACTCATCCTTGAAAATGAATGAGAATAAATCTACCATTTATTTGGGAGGGAACTAGGTCAGGCTCTCAGATTTTCTAACATAGCACTTTTAAACCTAGTCCTAATGAATGCAAAGATCCCTTAAGTCTGGATGAAATCGTAACTGCTTCATATGGAGCCACAAGTATTGTGTCATCTCTCAGATGAATCTCCAGAGTAGAAATGGGTAATTCTCCCAATAAAAAAGTGGATTTTACCAGCAATGATAAAAAATCCTACCTAGCACTCTAGTTTTGCAGTTTTTACAAGCTGATGCCAGCTGGGAATCTGCAATCACATAAAAATCTGTAACAAATACAGTGTAGCTCTGTTTCCTTCTTTGGACCTTTTTTTTGGAAGGAAAGATGAAGGATAATTTCTTTGTTAGAATTAATTCAAAAAATCTTGACAAAGATACCAGCTACATTTAAGATTGCTATAACTTGGTCTGGAAGTGTTCAAGGCCAGGCTGGATGGGGCTTTGAGCAGCTCTGGTGGGAGGTGTCCCTGCCCAGGGCAGGGGGGTGGAACTCGATGATCTTTAAGGTCCCCTCCAACTCTAACCATTCTATGATTCTGTAAAACATTCAATCACAATTAACCTTATCAACAAGAGGGGCTGCCTAAACAGACACAATACTTTTACCCTTAAAGGCTACCTTTCATAAAGAGAATGAACACCTGTGAGTTGCCTCAATAAATTTTCTGGTTTCTCTGTTTGTGATTTAAACTGTTTGTGTTTAAATAAAGTTTAAGACTTTCTTCCATGTGTTGTCACAGGGAAAAAGAGTTGCCAAGGATGGCAGAGATACAGCTTTCAACATGCTGTCGATGTTGCACCACAGAACCCCTCAGCTCACTGGATGTTGTGCATACACAAGCACACACACAAAAATATAGATATAAAAAAATAAAAACAATGCCATACTTTGCTACTGCTACTTTGCATATTTGCTTAAGGGAACTGCTACTTTGATATTTGCTTAAGGGACCAGATTAACAGTTAAAATATTTAAGTAAGTTAGTTTCCTAGTGGGTCTATAGTGAGTAGCTATATATTAATACTTCTTAATAGTTTCCTGAGTTTAAAAAATAAGGACAACATCTAAAACCAACACACAAAGATAAAGAAGCAATCTTATCAAACAAAGTACGACAATTTGCTTAATGAAGCATCCTCCAAAAGCTATTTTACCTCCACAGTTTTGTTTTTATTTACTTCTGGTTTATCAGCATCAATTTTATCTTCTTTTTCAGTCTTGTCTTCACCAGGTTCTTCAGATTTTTCTTTTAGCTTCTCTTCTATGTCTACTGAGGTGGAGAAACTGGCTTCTTCAAGCCATTCATGAGCTTTTTTCCTAGCCTGATAAACAGAGAACAACCCCAAAGTTCACTTCAAATTGGCAATATCAAATGAGGTTTCTGAATATTCATTAACGAGTCCTTTTTACAATCCAAAGTATAAACATATGAAGCCTCTAGGAGGCATTTAGTTAAGTGTGTATTTAAGAAAATACAAGAAGAAGCACTTCTGACCACCTAAAGATGATACAGTATGATATTCCCAACCAACACATAGTTGGATTTAATACCAGAGTGAGCTACATTTCAGCTTTATGAGGTATCTTTCAAAGGAATTTACATGGAAATAATTTTCCCAAATAAAAAAGTAAGAAGATACAATAAAAAAATATAGGAGAAGTAAGAGAGATTCCTTTAAATTCTTAAAGGAAAAATAAACAAAGGAATTTACATGGAAATAATTTTCCCAAGTAAAAAAGTAAGAAGATACAATAAAAAAAAATATAGGACAAGAGAGATTCCTTTAAATTCTTACAGGAAAAATAAATAGAAAATCACTGTATCCTCAGCTCCCTTCCCAGGCATGAAAGTAGATCAAAGTGGAAAAGCCTTGAAGTTTTATACAACTTCAGACTACTGTTATGGTTAGCAGGAAATTTATTATTTCTCTTTTTTAATGTGAAGTCAAATAAAAATATGTTAAGATCTAAACCTAAGATCAGCAGAAGAATCACCTTTAAAGGGGCCCAATAGTAAAAATGTGACTGGTGATGTGACTACCTTCTAGCCATCTAACTTTTACATGACTGAAGCTAGATGAGACGAATCCAAGAAGACAAATAATTGTGAACATGACCTTTGTTCCCAGCATGCAAGACCAAATCTGCCAGGCTTGTGACCTCTGTTCCACCATCCCTGGAGGGATTTAAAAGCTGGGCAGACGTGGTGCTGAGGGACATGGGTTAGTGATGAGTTTTGTCAGATTTTGGGTTGATGGTTGGACTCCATGATCTGAAAGATCTCTTCCAACCTGGACAATTCTACGCCTTACTAATCTCACTTGAAAATGTCTAATCTCTAATTGCTTTCTGAACTGTCTAGACTGAGATAGGTCCTGCTCTGCATCAGATTTCAGAGCAAAGCCTTCCCTCTATGTGCCCAAGAACCAGAGGGCAGGTCACTAATTCTACGCCTTACTAATCTCACTTGAAAATGTCTAATCTCTAATTGCTTTCTGAACTATCTAGACTGAGATAGGTCCTGCTCTGCATCAGATTTCAGAGCAAAGCCTTCCCTCTTTGTGCCTGAGAAACAGAGGGCAGGTCTCAAACAGATGCTAACCTTATTAAGTTTGTCAGGAGTAGCAGCAACGTGCAATTCGAAGAGCAGTTCCGTGAGCACACTGACAAACTCCTCTCCCATATCTGCTGCAAGAAAAAACAAGACAATTTATTGTTAGGTTGTTATCACTACAGTATTCTACATGCTCCAATGCATCCAAGTAATTTCCCCAAGCACTCTAGCACTCAAAAAAGAGTGACAGTGACAGGGGTGTGTGGGTATAGGTATGTGTATATGCTCAAAGAAAGAAGAGAAGAAGCAAGAGAGATACCTGCACAACCAGATATGCTGGCTTGACACTTCAACTACTCTTTCTACTCCATCCTAAATGCCACTAAGTTTCACAAAAGCAGGAAGAGGAGAAGCAGATGAACAATCCCCAGTTATCTGACAAAAATATATGACCCACAAAATAACCAACGAAGAGGTATTAAACTCATCTTCCAAACCAAGGAATAAAAACAGCAGCAGGGCCAGATCCAGGTAAGTTGCAGAGGAAACATACTGGAAAGCATATTTTTTATTGCCCTGTCTGTAAACCCCACCTAAGAGGTGTGTTTTCTTTCTATTTTAAGATTAAGCTTTGTTTAAATGAAAAATGTTTTCTCTTCTGCTTAGGAATAATGAGCCTTAAAGAATCTGCAATTACATTTCAAAAGATTCATCAGCAAAGATAAATATCACTAGTATTGAAATTTTACCTTTCTTACGTATATCCCTTTGATTACTTGCAGTTGCCATATTCTAACATGCTCTAAGTTCCTAAAAGTTGGTATTTCGGTTGGTTCTGTCCATCTGCACTTACTGAGTTGGGAATCTTCACTAACAGTTCCTGGGGGAATATACCAAATCCAGCTTTTTTATAGCCTGATGACACTAAAAGGTTCAAAGTCCCCATACCAAGCCTGATAAAAGTCAGAATTTCTGAATTTCACATCTTCCTGTATTCCCACTTTTTTTGTTTTGTTTATTCATTAGGTATTTTGTTCATTTATTAGGTATTTTCATTTAAAGACTGCCCACCTTCGGTGCTATAAAACAAATTAGACAAAGAACTCTTCACCTGCAATGACCAAGAGACTGAGCTTTCCTCTGAACAGCTGGGGAACAACTCAAGAAGAATGTATTCTGAAAGGCCAGAGAGATGCAGAGAGCTCATTTAGGCACCTATTTTGTCCCCACCCAAAGGGCCCACCCCTTTTATTGTAACTTTTGTGAGCTGATGTGTGGACAGCCATGCTGGTCCCATTCTCTCCCATGCTGTGCACTACATCAGAGCCATGGATGCTTCTGCTATGGCTCTGTTTTGTCTATTTGCTCATCCAGATGTTCAGAAATGAAATAAATAAATAATACCTCTAATCTGTGTGTGTATTGGAGGGTAAACGACTGGCACAGGGGGTAAATGACCCTACTTTGGGACAACACATGTTCAGAAATGAAATAAATAAATAATACCCCTACTCTGTGTGTATATTGGAGGGTAAACGACCCTACTTTGGGACAACACTACTTTAACTTCTTTCTGAGACTTCATATGTCAGGTCTTGCCAAGCAACACCTAAAAAGCAGCTTTGCCACGAGGTTTCAAAGTGGCTTTCCCTCAAAAAGATCCAGGTTCTGAAGTCCCTTTATGACACTCTAATCTTTTCCCTGTCTAGCAGGGGAGGATACAAAGTTAGGATAAAGTTGCCGAACAGAAAAGCATTGCTAAACACTCCTAAATTTTCAGATGACACAATTTCATAAAAAGATTCTGTAAGAAAACTTCAGTTATCCAAAAAGTCGTTGTTCTTATTTTTGTTTTGCTTTCACTGAGGATATAGTAAACTAACACAATACTTCCTTACCTTATATATTCTCTATCTCATGCTTCAATTACAATATAAATTCAAAATTAAGCATTGATCAGCTTCCAGAACTTTCACAGTATTAATTTTAGTGACTTGCTTCTGCAGAGTGTCAGGATATCAGAAGTTATAGTTTGGATTGCAATTTTTTTAATTACTATGTGCAGAAGTAACAATTGTCCATACAGTTAAGTCTCTGTATTTGTAATTACCTTTCTGTGCGGGTACCACTTCATCATCTGATTCCTTTGGAACAAAAATCTCCTTTATAGCAATTAAATCATTTTTCACAGTCTCCAGCTGCTCTCCATCAAGTGTTGCTAAATATGACTGAATCTGCAAAAGAAAGGACAGAAGGGATTCCTGACTGAATCTGCAAAAGAAAGGACAGAAGGGTTTCCTAAACAAAACAGAGCCTTTTTCTTAAATTGCTAATTTTGGGGCTGATACCAGACCAGGCTAAGAAATGGCAACTTCCATTATGCTCAAATCTCGTCTCTAATCTTCTGATTTATGTAGACACATTTTTAGCTCTCATCAACAAAGCATCACAAAAATTACACCAGCCTTGCAAGACCATCAGGTCTTTACCTTCTCCTGAAACATTCGTTTTGAATTATAAAATTGTGGCTTAATTGCAAGCTGTAATAAGCATTTTGGGATTGCCTGGATGAAGAGAGCAGGAAAGAAGAGCACAGGCCGAATTCACGCTTTAGCCTGAGAACTCATAGGAGGAGCTAGAAAAAGAAACCAGTTTCCCCTCCCTCAAAATGCAACCAAAATTATTGACAGTCTACCAGTCTACCTGTTTTTCTGGAGAACATGCTGACAGATCTTTAGGTGTCTCAGGAACCTGCAAGTCCCTGCATCTATAATAGGGTGGCAAGGACACAGGACACTAGCAATGCCTTCAGTCTCTCTCATCTCTCATGGCAACAACCTGCCCAAGCCTTCCCTACCCTGGGATATGTAACACTAAAAGAAAAACAGTTTCGATGTGTGCAATTAACCTGAGCTTGTTTTACATGTAGGTTTTGAATTTATAATTTTGCAATTACAGTCATAAGGGCAAAAAAGCAGAACCATCATGGACAGCATGTAGCCGGCTATTATTAAAATAAGCTTCACTTGTGACAGCAAAAAAAAGTATTTTAAAAAAATAGGTTGGATATTTTTATTAGAAGTAACCCAGAGGGCAAGGAGTGCTAAATACTAAAACAAAAAAAAAAAAACCCGTGTATTTTAAGAAATTTATTCAGAAAACTGTTTCATTATAAAACAGTGCTGGGAATCTAAAAAATTAATCTACTGTCTGAGACCTACTGACAGCTCAAATTCACAAATGCATTTATTATATAGGCCTTAGTAACTTTAGTATGTTCTTCAGAGAGATATATAGCATTTGTACACTTCCAGTAATGATATCTTGGGGTAGCTTTATGTAAGTTTAAAACCTAACACAATAAAGAAGACCTAGGAATTGAATAAGTAACCTGGAATTCATTTTAATTCACTAGTCTCTAGGTGTAGCAGGATTGGAATTCCTGAAAATATCAGTGCCTGATACAACACCAAAAGACAACAACCTCTTTGCAAACGACAGTGTCACAAGCTGATCTATGATCCTAGAAAAAATTACTTTCAGCTTTGAAGCTGTTTGTTCTGAGTTCATCTTGGAGTTTAATTTTACATGTGTTGACACTGATTTCCTGAAGCCCAGGACTGGCCCATGGGACCAATCCAGCTTTCTCTGAAGTCGACGAAAAACTTACTGTTCATTTCACATGCAGCTGCAGAGTGAAATTAATGCAAAGAACAATTTTTTTACCAACCATTATTTTGATTTATGCTGTCTGCATACTGTACCTGGGCTTCACTTTCATTTGACAGGATTTCCAGAGCTTCCAGATGAGACAAACCTTGGAACTCATCAAAAAGTAGTCCATAATGTGCTGTTCTTTCAACTGTAACTTGCTGGGCCCTCCTCTGTTTTTCTTTTTCTTTAGCTTCTCTCAACAGCTGCAAAAATAGACATGATTTCCATTGTTTTATTGCTAGTGCTGTAGGTATGACAGATTTTATTACCTTCTGCTTGTCAAGGAAGCAGTAATAAAATTTGTGAATCTATCACATTTGCAGAGCTGAAATATCTAGCTTCCTTTTTGATAAACTTTAATAAAATACTGATGTAGTATTCCAAGTATGGTTTTCCCAGTATTAATTGCTAAACATCTTTTTTCAAAAAACAACAAACAAACAAATAATCTTGCTTATGTTCTCAAAAGCAATATCAGCTATGGATATCATATCATATCATATCATATCATATCATAAATTTAGCCACTAATTACAATGAAAGAAAAATAAGTGTTGTTTAGTAAGGTATTCTGAAAAGCTTATTTTAACCCTGTGACCCTTAATAAGAGTTATAGAATCACAGAATCATACAACAGTATCAGTCTGTTTAAACTTACAATGACCAAAACTAAAGATGAAACATCTCATTAAAAGAAAAATACTTCACTCCTCTCTACAAAGAATTAAACACGTAGTAAAATTAAAGTTTTTTTCAATGTCTATTGATTTCCACAGCCTCCCTCCTCTCAGCATCTGGAGAGCTACATAATTTTGTACTGACAGCACTTAGACTTTTGTTCTGCTTTTATCATGTCTCTGAGCTTTTAAATGTATGAGTCATGACTGTGTAAGGGTAACGTCAGTTGAGACAGACATTAAGGTTTAATTCGTAATGAAACATATGTCACATTCCAGTATTATTCATTTCCAAGGGAAGTGATGTTTATGCTGGAAGACATCTATCTACAGCAGTTACAAAAACACTGACAATTTGATTCTGTCTCCAGAGTGTAATGATTTATCAGTGCATATACTACCTTATTAAAATCAGCTATTGTACATGTGATTATGCAGGAAAGATGATTTTATAGTATTTTTTGTAGTTCTGTGAAGAAAAAGGAAGTGGAGCAAATATAAAGCACAACATTTATTTCCATAAGCCTACTCGAATGTCTACTGCAACGTATAAAGCCTCCCCCTGAGGCATCTGAAATTCTGGAAAAAGAATGTGAAACTGCATTGACAGAGCTGTATTTAAATAAATCCAACCTGAGAGAGAGAAACTGTTCGTTCCATCAGTGTTTTGGTTCTCTTAAATCCAGGATCGCTTTCTGCAAGGACATTCATGGTTTTCTTCCCAATAAATTCCAAAGCATCTAAGCCGCCGGATAATACACTTTTCCCCTGTATAAAATAATGCAATGGAGTTATTTTCTTTCCATTTTATGCTAATATGAACTGTAAAGAGTACTGTTTTGGCTGACACCACCTTTGAACACTCAGGCCCCTAGATTTTCTATGCTTTAACTAACAATAGGACAGATACATTTATAAAATTATGTTAGTTTGTTCTGAATACATTTTCAAAAAGAGCAAAATGAACTATGCAAATATTTCCAGTTGAGTAAAAGACTCACACTGGAGGAAACGTAACACCTTTTGGCAATAAAGAATTACGAATAATATCACTTGAATTTCCCCCCAAGTGGCATCTTGTCCATGGGAACATATTTTAGATGTGAATAATAAGGAGCCAAAGTCTACCATGAACAGGATGACCCTGCCTTACCCAACTGATTTCTGAAATGTCGACACTTGTGATGACTCCAGAACTGTCTATCAAAATACAGTTGTTTTTCCTGTGCCTTTGTATTAGCATTAGCCCTTACCCACAATTTTTCAGGTACATTGAGGAGTTTTCACTGGGTAAAGATTGCCATTTCAGTCTGGACTATGCATCTGTCAGATTTTGGTTGGTGACGTTCATCCCTGTGGTGTAACAGCCTGTCTAGGTTGGATTAAGAGCACATTTCTCTTATTTAAAAATCTCATACAATGCTCAGGTAATCTTAGTGGAGTCCAGCTCTCACAAGCCCTACGATGCTCCAGATTCTGTAGCAAGTCTTAGAAATAGTCTATAGGAATCTCCCTCTGCTCCCCAAATCTTTGATATTAGAGCATTGAGGCACTCAGAGGGAATTAGATATACTCTAAGAAAGAATCTCCACTTGGTAAAATGTGCTTATGTGGAGTTAGTCTCCTATGCTTTTTTAGCTTAAAGTCTCTTCAAATTTCAAGGGGAACATGACACTGAAAAGCTCATTTCTGTCTGTGAAAAATGCTGGGGAAGAAGATGACGCAAAAATTGATTTGGAACTAGTACAGCATAGGGTTTTGCAAAAGCTGAAACACAGACAACCAGAAAAGGATGAAGTGCAACACACAGAAAACATATGCAAAGCGTAATAGGAAAGAACCATGGCCAAAAGATCTTGCCTCACTGAGCCTGCAATCAGACCACCTGCTGGGAAGGCCAATATGAAAGGAGAGACTAGACAGAGAATAAACAAATGGAGTATTTTCTTATTTTATCTGCCTTCAAAAATGGTAACAAATTTTATCGTACTTTCTCTGGAAGGACCACATTAGACAATGGTGCCACAACCGTAAAAAAATTTCCCAAGAATGTACAGAATTCTATATAGTTTAGAAGAAGACTGTTAACAAATTTTATCGTACTTTCTCTGGAAGGGCCACATTAGACAATGGTGCCACAACCATAAAAAAAATTTCCCAAGAATTTACAGAATTCTATATAGTTTAGGAGAAGACTGCATTTTTCACTGCAACTAGTGTCAACGTAGGAACTGACTTAGTTGTGGTTGACTTTTTTTTTTAAATTTGATACCGTTATTTTGCCATGGAACAGACTCAAACCAGACTTAAAACAGAACCGTTTTTATAAAGACCTACAACTTAACAATCTTCACCTGTTAAATGTGACCTACAGTACAATTGCACCTAAAAATGATGAAGAACTAGAGCAGAGAGGCTGCTAACGTGACTCACTGTGTTCTGTACAGCATTAGTGATAGCTGACAACATGCCACGAGATCCAGATGAAGGAGAAGGAATATTCTCAGAAGAGCTTTGGTCCAGGGAATCTTCTGCTTCTAAGAAAAGAAAAAAAGCAAGCTCCAGCATACTTTCAAGTCACAAATTACAGTAAACTGGATGCTGTGATCAAAATCTTAAGAATTTTGTACATCGGACTAATTTGGCACTTTCAAAGATTTTTGTCCAATTTCGATGAACTTGAACTTACGTATAATTGGTGTTTCAGCTGCAGGAGAGTCTGCTGTTTCTGAAGACACTGAACTTGTGTTATGAATTCCCAGGGTAGTTCCTGCTTTTTCCTTTACTGCTGTTATCCCATGACCTGCAGCAGAAGCATATTTTAGATTGTATGTTTTGAAAACTGATTACTAACAGCGTGTAGTATTCTTATACTACACAAACGATGACAATCAAGATAACTATTAAACTTACTTCAACTGCCTAATTGTTTTCTAGGTTAATAATTCACTTATTCTACTATATCCCGTGTATTAACTGACTAGAAATGATAAAACTGAAATACAATACTCTGGACCAGATATGTAAAACTTGTTTCAGTGGCACACATCAGTTTAGTTCCCTACTTTTCAAACTGCTAAATATTGTATTACAATCAGTTTGAACAGAAATTGATGGTCCTCCCAGTGCCACAGGGTTTGGCCTCATCTAGTTCTCAGAAGTCTAGAACAATTAACCCGCAATTAATTGACTGTGGGTGAGTGCAGGGCTGATGTGAGGAATCTGCTCTTCAGTCTGCTGCACAGGTGCAGTGTTAGGTAAGAATTTCAGGAATACTGACCCAGGGCCTCAAAGTTATTTCAGGATTTAAGCTCCTTAATTGCGCGTTTGAAGTCAAATTCTAAAGTGTCTCTCCTAAAAGCTGCTGTTAAAATACATTTGTGAAGTCTGTTGGTGTCAGATGACACAGACAGAGTTATTGTTCCAGTGGCAGCTGATCTCCTACAGAGCCAGGGGTACAGAGAGAAGTCACAGTGTATAAACCACAAACATGCATGTGCATTCATCTGGGCCGGGGTGCTTCGACTTCAAAAACCATAAGCCTTTGGCAGATAATAATAGTATCAGATGACACATCCTTTTCTGTGAAGGAGCCACAATGAAGTAATTTACTTCAAACTATACAAACAAGCCTAGTCCCTTGTCCATAATCTGGCCCAAAGAAATATTTATGTGTTTTGACAGTTTAGGAAGGTCCTTCCTCCTATTAAAAAAACATAATCGTGATTGCCAAGCCTATCAGAATGAAACTGTCTCTGAATCTTTAAGAGACAACATGAATGTGTCTAATGACACATTAAAATTCTGATTTATTTCCATGTACTTTACTGATTGAACACTTACCCACTGTGGCAGAAGCTGACGACAGGAGAGACTTTCCCCAGGTACCCCAAGCTCCCCATCTACTTGCTTTAGCTGAGGAGTCTGCAGCCTGTAGGAACAACAATATTATTCCACTGTCTAAAATTCATGATTTCCAAATGGAGGAGGAAACACAAAGAACCTGTCAGGCAACAATAATAAATGATAATATCAGCAAAAACCATTGTGCCTTTTGCTTACAAGGGTATACAATCTGCAAACAGGCACTTTGTAATACAATGCTGGGCTCCTCTAATCATGGTGATGCCTCCTGAGGAATGATTCTCAAGAGGTGGAACACAGAGAGAAATAGCCCAGAACAACGACTGCCAAAAGCTCTTTTCATTCCTAAAAGTGCAACAGATTCTTAATGCTAATCGAAACGCTTATGGCCAGTGCCAGACTGGGTATTACGTGGAGTTTGAGCTTCTGTGCCTGAGAATCACAGAATTGTGGTGGTTGGAAGGGACCTCAAAAAAAAAAAAAAAAAAAAAAGAAAAAAGAAAAAAAAAGAAAAAGAGAAAGCAGAATGGGAAGCTAAGCTCAGATCCCCTATTCCTGAAAGTGCCCAAAACTCCAGAGATGTCTTTACAGATGTCCCAATATTTCTTCAGGAACGCAATCCTATAAAACTATGCAAGTTTGTTGTATAGTTATTATTATTAGGGAGAGGAGGGAACTCACCTCCTTCCAGAGTTCTAGTGGGAGACAGCGTTAGAGGCTTGGCTGCCTGAGTCTCCTCAGAGACATAACCCAGTAGATGTGCACAGGTAACTCCTGAGCTCAATAAAAACACAGCCAGAGAAGGTGCTGCCCACCTTGTACATCAATGGCCAGTGTTAAGCAATTATGAGTATTCTATATTTTAGTCATCTTAAGAAACTGTTGTCTCAAGAAAGTCTCCAGTAAGACATCATCCCTACACAACACACTCAAACCCAAAAACTGAAGTGGCCCAAGACAGCCCTGGATTGTGCAGCGTACGGATCCCCTGTCACCTCTTTGAGGTAGGTCCCTCTAAAGGCCTAAAGGTCCTGAGGTAGGACTAAAACAATGTCTTTTCCAACTTGTGGATGTCTGAACATTTTTCAGTGGAGCTGACAACATCTTCAGCTACGTCACGTGTATAGCCAGGTGGACCGTAAAAAAAGCCTTGTTTTTCTTAGTTTTCTTTTATTAACTACTTGCAATTACTCACAGGACCCCCAAAGGTCTGTGGATCAAATAAAAAACTACTGGCCAAGAACAAATGAAAAACTACCGAGCCTTGTGAAACATACAACATTTTTTTTTGTAAAGTCAATGACTTGAGAATTAGCAAGTACAAGATCCAGTGCTGCATATGCAGCTTAAGTTCTGTCCCCTTCTAGGTTCATTCCGTGAACTGAACGAAGCAGATTTGTACAGAAAGCTAGATAAGAAAATCACAGGAGTATTATATCTATATAAAACAGTCTAGATTCTTAATAAGACTTAGGCTCTGGTACAGTATTATTGCAGCCGGGCTAGAAAGACCAAATTAATATCATACTGGCAAAGAGAAATTCATCTATTCCTAGTTTCCAAAAGCTTGGTGTTGCAATTTAACTTCTTTTATTCCCACACAGGTTCTCTGTACAGAACTCCCTAGGCTTTTGTGAAAAACTGCACATACATTGTACAAAATCCAGTCCTTCCAAAGCAGGGAAGGGAGGGCTTTTACGGAAAAGCACGTGTTACTTACTGTGCTGCTTTGTTCATTCAGTGTTTCTTCAGATTCAGGTTCCGCATCAAGGCTCACAGTCTCACTGCACTCAGTGATCACATCTTCAGTCACCTCTCCACTGGAAGGCAGACTTTCAACTATTTTTCCAGCCAAAGGGTTTTCGTGAATAAATATGTCTCCTCCTTCCTGTCCGTTCCCAGCACTTGGAGCAGCCTGTCCACTTCCATCTTGTGCAGACTCATGTAAGACCTCAGCTTCCACAAGGTCTGGTACTGACTCACGAGGTGACACCTCACTGCTGGGCTTTTCCATTACTCCAGGCTCTTCTTCAGGGGGGACGCCATCACCTACGTCTTCAGACATTTTCAATTCTGGATACAGAAAATAAATAAAGTCTTTTGGGTTCCATAAACATTTGAATGGCTATAAAATATGCAGTGTTTACCATAAGCTATTGCTGAAAAACAATACAGCCTTGATGTGAGGCCTCCTGAATCACAGAGCCCTGTGGTAGATGCATCGTGCCAGCACTGATATCACGATGACACTGAATACTCTGTTCACCTTGCAGGATCTCAGTTAAGTATCAAAAGCAGCATTACTGTTTTCCAAAGTACAAATTGGGGAGGGAGAAACAACATCCATTTGTCTGAAGAAGTCAAATATAAGAGTTTCCACATGGTTAATTCCTATATTCCCTCTTAGACGTGTATGAAAGACCACTGAAGAGGATAATCTGAGCTCCAACAAGAAAGACACAGTGTGACTAAAACTGTGGTGGCATCTATGTGTTGGAGAAGGGGCATGATTTGAGAACGTGACATGGCACAGTCTCTGCAGCCACTTAGAATCACAGAATCACAGAACTGTCCAGGTTGGAAGGGACCTTTCAGATCACTGAGTCCAACCATCAACCTCACTCTGATAAAAACCATCACTACACCAGGTCACTAATTTCAGAATTTCAGAAGCACTATGTCAACCCAATCTTTTAAATCCCTCCAGGGATGGTGCCTCAACCCCTTCCCTGGGCAGCCCATTCCAAGGCTTCATAACCCTTTCTGTGGAAACATTTTTCCTGATATCCAATCTGAACCTCCCCTGGTGCAACTTCAGGCCGTTTCCTCTTGTCCCATGGCCTGTTCCTTGGGAGAAGAGACCTCCCCCCCCGGCTACACCCTCCTTTCAGGGAGTTGGAGAGAGCCAGAAGGTCTCCCCTCAGGCTCCTTTTTTTTTTTTTAAGTTCCAAACCCATTTTATCGTATTTACTTCTTATCTTCCAGCGTAACTTTCTTTTTTCTAGAAGAAAAAGACCACTGTGCAGTCATCAGGCTGAGGAGCCAGGAAGGGAGAGAAATGGCTGTCGAGCAAGCTCTGCAGCTGATAAAGGAGCAGCACTGGCAGAGTCCAAAAGGACTGCTCTACAGTGATTACCACCACTTACTTGCTGGCAACAACAGCAACAACAGCCTGGACTCTACTTAGAAGACAACCCTTGACAGGTAGTTGTTATTGCAACCTCTTGACTATATATTGAATTGCACAGCATAAAATAAACTCACAGAGTCCTCTCAGTAGATGTTGTCTTTTCATTGACTCCCATATTAATTAAATACGGTTCAAAGCTTTGTATCTGCTAGGAAGGACCGAGAGTCTAAGAGGGACTGAAGAACATGGAGGAAAAAAAAATAAAGGAAAAACGCAAAATATAACTGGGATTTAGGAGAGATCTGCCTGGAAAGCATGTATTTAAATTAGTATATTTTATTAAGGTCTATAGAATCATGGCTTTAGCAGCCTGTTTATCTAACTTGAATGAGGATCAGCTGTTTGAGCAGCTCTAAGAATAGCATTTGGGATCAGTGAATAAGAAACATAAATATATAAATAAATAAGCACTTGGTGCCACTTATATCACTTCCGCTTACACTGTAACTTAATTATCTTTAGAAAACATGCATTTACAAGTCAGAATCTTTCTATTCACCACAAGTATTTGTGTTTTCCATTACAAATATAGCAAATATGATAAAATGCAATAGTGTAGGTACATATCACCATTGTTTTAACAGTACTCACTGTGCAATGGGCAGCATCACCTAAAGAAAATTTTTGTAAACCAGGTATGAGGATGCTGTACCAAAACCTGTAAAATCTGTACACAGACCTTGGCAAGAAAATGCCCCTACAGGGGTACAATTTGTAAAGGATCCTGGCACAGCCACGCACATAAATTTTTGCAGGGCTGGGTCATCTTTGGGGACCAGACAGGCCAAAGAGCCTTGAGCTGTCAGGAAAGTTTAGCAGACAGGAGCAAAGGAGATAACAGCAAACTACCACATCCCTCTGAACCCACAGCCATGCCTGACTTGGGGGGGGGACACCACACAGGAGCCATCTCAGCTGTCACCTGTGAGACCACAATGACCTAAATCAACTCTGACAACTCCACCCCAAAGGGAATAATTACCTCTCTACAGATAAATTCATGACGGAGACACCACGGCCAGCCCCGGGCCCGCAGCGACCGGCTGCTCTGAGGCGAGCGGTGGGACCGGCCGGCTCCCCTCAGGGGCCGGCGCTGGCGGCACCTGCCGCCCCGCCGCTCTGAGGACTTTTATCCCGCCTGGAAAACAAAATCCAGCCGCTTTCCCTCCAGGAGGGTTAACTTTTTTTTATTATTATTCCTAAATGGACGGCGGCGCTTCCCTTTCGCTCGACGCCCGCTTCATCGGGACGGACGGGCTGAAGCCGGGCCCCCTCAGGCGGCTGCCCCGGCGGCATCTCCCCTGCCCCCGCCAAGCAGGAGCCGCTCCCTCCAACCGCACCGCCCCCTTCTCTTTCTTTTTTCTTTTTTTTTTTTTTTCTCATATCCCCTCGAGGGGCAGAGTTATCACAGATGAGCCCGCAGCCCGGTTTCAAAAGAAGAAGAAGAAAGCGCCCCGCTCCTTACCGTTCAGCAGTCCCCCGGCCGGCGCGCCCCCTGCTCCCTTCCCCGCCCCGCCACGTCGGCACCAGCGGAGGGAGGAGGAGGCAGGGGCAGGCCGGACGGCCGAGCCGCGGGGAGGAGGAGGAGGAAGAAGAGGCGGTGGGAGGGCTGGGTGGCCATTCCTCGTTGTCTCTGAGGCGGCCGCCTTGGTGCGGAGGGGCTGGGGGCCGGGACAGCAGAGCGGAGCCGCCGCCGGGAGCCCGCCCGGCCGCCATTATCCCCCCCCTCGCCTCATGGCCCCCAGGTGCCGGCGGCCGGGGCGGGCTGAAAGGCGTCGGTCGCCGAGGCGGCAAAAATGGGTGAATTTGCCACCGCTGACGTGAAAACCTTCACACCGAGGCGTTTTGCTGAGTCCAGTCACGGAGCTGACGTGAAATGACTTGAGGTTGAGCTTTCCAGGTGCCACTTTCCACCGCAGGTATACCTGTGTTTAGCGGAAATGCCGCTAAAATAAACTGGGGTGTGTGTGTACACCTATTTCCAGTAAATTCACCTCAGGGCCGGGCGCTGAAATCCGGCTGGGTCTTGCCCAACAACCGGTGGTTGGTGTCTCTGAATTCCCCATGCCCTTTCCTCTTTTTGCCGCTTGGTTTGAAGGCCAAGCACCCTCTTCTTTTTTTGCTGTGGTAAATAAAAGGCGGTCTGGCGATTTCATCACAGCATCCTTTCCGTCTTCCTTTGCTTGAAGCAAGAAATGGCTGTTTCCGAGGGGAAATGAAATAATAGATGTTGTGGTTGAGTGGCTGAGGAGAGCTGCTCCAGCAGGTCACAAAATGAAGCCCTAGTCCTCAAAACTGTGCTCCACAAACACAGATCATGCTATGTGCCGGGCAAAAAGTCTCCGAAGTTTCCCATTAAGGTAGGTGGTAGCAGAACAAATGGTTGTCTCCCTAAATAATAAGGGGGTTTTTGAAGCCTTTTTAATGGGAATTTAAGTATTGGGGCATACCATTGGGCAGTACTACCATTGTGGCATGCTAGTTGTAGCATCTTCTAGGTTAATGTAATAGATGTATTGAAAATGAAATCGAGTGTGGCCTTAAGGATTTCCCTCTGCTTTTCAGTGGAGCCTGTGGAAGAGTGAGGGCAGCGTTTCAGGAGGAATTACCATCCATGAAGCTCAAGAGCTGGAGATTAGTTTTTTCCCCATGAGGGATGGTAATTTTGACTGTAAAGTGGATCTTGCGCTGTCAGTTTTGCAAATTCTGTACAAGGCCAAGCGTGTTTTAGAGCTGCAAGACAGTATTAATCACTATTGTAATATAAAGTTACTACTTTAGGATGAAATTAACATTATAGGTGCATAAATGTGTATGTCTGTCTATTGGGATAGAAGGATGTATTAATTTCCTAAGTTCCTAAATTACTTTCTTGAATTTAGCACTTGCATTTTCTAATTTTCTTTCACTTTTCCAGTAATTAATTTAGCCTGTATTTTCTCATTATGGTAATACTGCAAATGGTTTTGGAATAAATAAGCAATAGAGATTGAACAATTCTACTCATCTCAGATTTCACTGAGGTTTGTTATTATTCTGAGTGTTAACATATTCCTCATGGGTTTCCCGCAAAATACTTGCCTCTTAGTAAATAAATAGAAAGAAAAGATGGAAGGAAACAACTATATTTGGCTACTTTTAACAAAACACAGAATATGCATAATGTTTTAGAGGTATATTCATCTTCTTCCAGTGGTTGCACTGGTAAATCTGAGGGCTAGTGGCCTGCGATTAATGGTAAAATGGCTATTTTGCTGCATAACACATGCTTTATCTCTCTTTATAGTGTGTAGGTGGAAGTGGAGAACTCTATCAGTGGCCAGCTTATCTTGTCACTTAATTGAAGAGAGAACTCTGCAATGAGAGTCTCTAATTTACCATCGTTATTACGTGTTAACGTACGCCTGGTTCTGTATTCATTGGAGTAATAGGTAGGTTATAGTCAAGCAGTTAAACTATTATATTACAAAACAGGAATAAGTATTTGATAGCAGCAAGGTCTTACCTTAGGATTTTATCTCATCCTGAGGCTGGGTAGCAAAATCTTTGCAGCTAAGGGCAGACGCTGGTGAGGTTTGTATGTCACAACATTGTAAGGTGTCATTAGGAAACCAGCTGTGAATTCTCTTGTCTGTATGGGCAGAAACGGAGAAAGAATCATAGAATCATAAAGTACCACCATAAGGCTCATCGACTTAACAGTGGAAAATATGAATTATCCATATCCTGTCGCTTACTACCCGTCCTATCCTTCCCTTCCTTTTTTGGATGACCTCTTTCTCTTGAAGCTGAGAAATGAAATACAATGTACAGAAAAAGCTTTAAAGTGAGAAAGGAATTTTTAAGATTATCTCCCCTGTGTCCTGAATCACTGAAATGTTAAATAACGAATGCGCTGTGTTAACGCTGACTCAAAAAGGTGGGTTGTAGTGTGGCAGGTCGGTGCTTACAGCTCAGCTAGGGTGGAATTTCTGACCAATGTTATACAGAAATAAAGAGAGACTGGTTTATGTCTTTGCCAGGACAATAACCCAAGTGTTTGGGCTTCAGTGCCAAAGTTGTGCTCTGCTTTAATGTAAAAATTAAAAAAAAAAAAGGGGAAAAAAAAACCCCACCCACTGTTTCCATGTCTACTATTTAACCCAATCACAACACTGCTGGAGCAGGAGAGAGAGAGATATTATTTTTCCATTCCCATTAAATGGAAATTAAAATAAGGCAAACAAAAGGCAAGCGCTTTTATAAATGAGCCTCGATAAGAACTTGACAACTAAGTATGGGAGTGTAAAACTTGCCCAGAAGAGGTACTTATTTTCATATTAATTTGATGAAGACAGAAAGTTGGTAAAAAGATTATTTTTTTCCCTGCTCAATCTATTGCAAAGCATAAAAACACGTACAGGTATATATTATATATAAGGAACAATGAAAAAGTGGGGAAATTACAGTAATGTTTGTGGAAAATACATTTGGAGGAAAGGAAATGCCATCTCATAAACTGTCAGTAGGTGGCACGAAGCTTCACATAAAAAGTTTGGGCGTTCCTAAGTTACTGTTTCACAGCCAGATAGGGTTACAGGAAGTTTTCTTGTCATCTTTTCCTGAGTACACTTTCTGCTTTTTCGGAGAGCAGGGATTTACGGTGAGAAACATTTTGTTTTACACGGTTTATCGATGTTATGCGGTTGCTACTTAGCTAAAAGAGTTTTTATATTCTGCATCTTATGTGAAAACGAGCCGTGTTTTCCATAGAGGGTTGTTAGCAAGTATATGATGTGCTTTCAAGTGTAATTAGAGTAAAGTTGCTTATGTTCAGTAATTTATCCAAAGAAGCTGGCCAAATAGCAGTCTGTTTGTATTGGCACTACAGCCATGGTTAGGGGGGTCGCAGGGATTTAATGGGAAGAATTTTACTGCAGTTCAGGAATGGGTCTAACTTGATGATCTGTTTAATCCGTATGAAAGACCTATTTTTAACAGTCGAGTTTTGTATTCCATTGATAACTTGTGAAGCGCAAGTAATACTGAATCATCATAGCTCAATGCATTCTGTATGTTTCCTGTGTGAAAATTTAGTCAGTTCATACTGAGTTTATATTGGAAAAACTCTTAAAACCTTAATGTTTATCTCTCACTAAACAGCAGCACAATTTCTCACTAAGATCTTGGTTTACTTACTCTGCTGGGTTGCTTCTCTGCTTATATCTCTTTTTGTAAAGTTTGAAGACTTGAGGGTACTTCTGAATTAAAAGGGACGTGACTATAAAGGATATTTTCTGTAGTGTTGCCCCCAAAATCAGGGGTCATGTGTTATAACAGCTGTTAGTTTTGTTGGTTCATAGGATATTCTAAAGAAAGTTTGAAGGTAGTCATAAATAATTTGACGGAAGGCCAGGATATAGGAATGAGAAAATTAAGCACGTGTGGAGGAATCATATTTGTCCTAAGAAGAAATAATGATTTGAAGGTAGATTATTTTTTTTCAGATTTCTCTTGAAGTCGGAAGGCCAGGATATAGGAATGAGAAAATTTAACATATTTGTCATAAGAAAAAATAATTATTTGAAGGTAGATTATTTTTTTTTTCAGATTTCTTTTGAAGCTACATATTTTGTTTGATTGTATAAACATTAGTAGTGTTGCCCAAACGATTGGAAGAGCAGGATAGAGGAGGCTGAGTATCTTTTGTTCTCTGCACGTGCCCAAGTGCCTTCTGAGGGCTACGATGGTAAAACCACATATAAATTTTCCAAATGGAAATCTGGAAAAGGCTGGAAAAGTTTTACCATATTGCCCCACTGTTTCTAGATTATTTCCAAGCCCAGTTTCATGCATTCTTCATCAAAGAAGATCTCAGTGGACTGGTTTTTGTTGCACTGTTGCCAATTATGTAATATAGGTTGTGTTAGATCAAGGAGAATGTACATTTGAGACCCAGGAATGTAATTTTAGAAAGCTTGTGGAATGGTTAATAGTACAGAGGATGTAGTCCTCGAGGTTGCAGCTTTAGTCCAGCAAGTGATAGCTATTACTGTCTTGTTTTAGAGTCACTAGAAATATAAAGTCTCAATTTAGCCATTTAAATATTAAGCGAAAGCCAAAAGGCAGTGCAGTCATGAGTAAGCACTATGGAAAGCTTCGTACAACAACTACAGTTTGAAAGTAACGGGGGGAAGAGGAAACGAAAACATTTCAGAAATCTGGAAAGCAACTTTAAATCAGGATTTACACATAGAAACATGTTAGCTAAGTTCTTACCAGTTCCTCTTTCAGAAGGGCGGTCTAATGGATTTATGGTGCTATCTAAAAGACGATTTCAGGCGCGATTCACAATGGCTGACTTGAACAAAGGGAGGCTGGCTACCCTCATGGCCAATCTCAGCTACCTAAAGACATCCAGATTTTGATCACTCTCGTGAACCTCTCTCCTGTGGCTCAGCCCAGGTTTTATAGTCCCAAATCCATTTGAAAAAATGTGTTGAGTCACATTCATATCCTTCTGGAGAGAATCTGAGGAGAGGGAGACCATACTCAAATATTGTACTTTCTGATCAAAGTGCATTATACAGTTGTGGGAAGCCTTCATAGTACATTGAATCACAGCAGTAATTTTGTACGTACACAGCAAATTTGAGTATGAAATAGACATGTTTTGTAAGAAACTGACTCTATATGTTAAATACCGCCTGTTTACCAAATAGAAATTTCAGTGGTGTTCCCTTAATAAAGAATGCCTCTCCTGAATGATAATAGGTGCCTTCGTTGGTTTCTGACTCAAGGGGAAAGATGAGAAATTGGAACCTTAAAAAAATCAATCTGTATGATAGCTCCTGCATAGCTACTTAATGGTACAATCTGCTTTCTATTTTTGTTTGTTTGTTTTGCTACAGGATTAGACCAAAGGTGGACAGAGAAGAAAAGCATTGAGCATCTCCAAGGAACCAGAAACCAGTATGGCATCAAAACTGAGATCTCTCAGAAAGGTTTTTCTTTACGAGTGTCTGTTTGCATTAACTTTTTGGAACCTGGTCAGCCTGTCTGTGGGACAGGAACTCTTTATGTCTGTTTCTAACAATTTTTCAGAAGATGGTTCTGACAAAGGAGTTGGGGGCCCGCCACTCCTGCATACAAATAATCGCCAGTCCAAACCCAATTTTGACTGGGTTGTGGTAGAAAATACTACAGAAAGCCTGTCGTTGTCAGAAATCACAAATAACAATGTAAACGATTTAATAGCTTTATTATCTAATTTCAGGCCAGGCTCCAGGTTACACAATCTGACGCTGACAAACGTGTCAGTGGACTGGACTGCTCTTATTGATGTTTTGCAGACTGTGTGGCACTCCTCTGTCGAATACCTCAATCTTAACAGCGTAACACAACTATCAGACATCATTGAGATTGATTTTGACTATTCGGGTACCTCTATGAAAGCACTGACAATGAAGAAAGTTTCAATCACGGATCTGTACTTCATGCAGAATGACCTATACAAAATATTTGCAGACATGAATATCGAAGCCCTGACAATATCTGAATCAGAGATGATCCATATGCTGTGTCCTTCGTCAAACAGTGCCTTCAGATACTTAAATTTTTTAAAGAACGATTTAACAGATTTTCTTTTTCAAAGTTGCAAAAAATTAGTTAAACTGGAGACGTTAATCTTGCAGAAGAATAAATTTGAGAGCCTTTCCAAAGTCAGCTTCATGACCAGCCGTATGAAATTGCTCAAATACTTGGACATGAGCAGCAACTTGCTGAGCTACGAGGGGCCTGCTGAGCGGTGCCGCTGGGCCGAGTCCCTCTCGGAGCTGGACCTGTCCTCCAACCAGCTGACGGATGCCGTGTTTGAGTGCTTGCCAGTCAACGTGCAGAAGCTGGAGCTGCAGAACAACCAGATCAGCAGTGTCCCCAGGGGGATGGCGGAGCTGAAGTCCTTGAGAGAGCTGAACCTGGCGTCCAACCGCCTGGCTGACCTGCCGGGCTGCGGGGGCTTCCCGTCGCTGGCCTTCCTGAACGTGGAGATGAACGTGATCCTCACCCCGTTGGTGGACTTCTTCCAGAGCTGCCCGCGGGTGAGGGAGCTGCAGGGCGGGCACAACCCCTTCAAGTGCTCCTGTGAGCTGCAGGCCTTTGTGCGGCTGGAGAGGCGCTCTGGGGGGAAGCTGTTTGGCTGGCCGGGGGCCTACGTGTGCGAGTACCCGGAGGAGCTGCGAGGAAGGCTCCTGGAGGACTTCCACCTGGCCGAGCTGGCCTGCAACACCACGCTCCTGCTGGTGACGGCTCTGGTGGTGACGCTGGCGCTGGTGGCCGTGGTGGCCTTTCTGTGCGTCTACCTGGACGTGCCGTGGTACGCGCGGATGACGTGGCAGTGGACGCAGACGAAGCGGAGAGCTCGGCACCAGCAGCCCCAGGAGCAGGAGGGGGCTCTGCAGTTCCACGCCTTCGTGTCCTACAGCGAGCGGGACGCGGCGTGGGTGAAGGAGGAGCTGATGCCCAACCTGGAGAGGGGGGAGGGCCGCGTCCAGCTGTGCCAGCACGAGAGGAACTTCATCCCCGGCAAGAGCATCGTGGAGAACATCATCACCTGCATCGAGAAGAGCTACAGGTCCATCTTTGTGCTGTCTCCCAACTTTGTGCAGAGCGAGTGGTGTCACTACGAGCTGTACTTTGCCCACCACAAGCTCTTCAGCGAGACTTCCAACAGCTTAATCCTCATTTTGCTGGAGCCCATCCCTCCGTACGTGATCCCCGCCAGGTACCACAAGCTGAAGGCTCTGATGGCCAAGCGAACCTACCTGGAGTGGCCCAAGGAGAGGAGCAAGCAGCCCCTTTTCTGGGCCAACCTGCGGGCAGCCATTAACGTGAAGCTGCCAGTGGCTGATGGACAGAGGTGTGGGGAAACAGATTAGGAATCTTGCTCATGGAGTTTCTTCTGCTTTTTTTTATTCTGGGTGAAGCAATAAATGCTTTATCATTTCCAGTGGTTGTTGATGTATTTAACTTTTTCTTACAGAACCTTGTTTTTCTAGAGTCGTTTGTGCCTAAATGCTTTATGATTTCCAGTGGTTGTTGACGTATTTAACTTTTTCTTACAGAGCCTTGTTTTTCTAGAGTCATCTGTGCTGCCTCCTAACTGTAGGCAAAATTCAGCTCAGCATCCTGGTGTTCTCTGGTGATTGATACAGAGATAGCAGATGGACAGGAGTTTGGATGTGGGTTTTGCAACCCAGCTTGACATACTGCAGGGAATTTTTCTCAGCAGAATAAAATGTGGAGCAGTTGGTGCAGCCACGTGGAAGAATGCTTGAGTTTCTGCAGAGTTTGCAGAGCTGCATTGGTCCCAGGGCGTTGGCAGCTGGGTCACAGGACCTCTTTTGCTAGAATCGGCTTGTAAGAGAGGAAATAAGGCATCCTGAGAAGGTGTCTCAAAGTGCAGAGCTTGAGATTGTTCCTGGGTAGAATTTTCTCAGATTCAGTGAAGATTAAAAGGGTAGGACCCAGATACAGGATTCTGTGAACATCCAGCGTAGGTGGACAAACGTGGCCATGCTACAAGAGAGAAACTCAACCCCTACATCTTACTTTATGCTCATGATGAAAAGAATGTGTCCTTTTTCAGATGGAACAGTATCTTTTCCAGCACAGCTACGAGTTCAGATCAGAAAGGGAATAACCCCTCCGAGGCTGAAAAGACCTGCCATGTCTTGTGACAGCAGGTGAGACGCTGCGTTCACGGGGGCAGAAGGACAAGCTGCATTTGGGGTATTTGCTGTCCTTCCTAGAAATGCAGCAGGCCCCGTTACCCATCACTTGGGCTGCTTTGGCTTCTAGAAAGTTTGCTCTCTGGCAAACATTTCACAACTACTAAAGATGATCTCATTCTTGTCTTCCCTTATTCTTAACAAATGACTTTTAATTTAGCTTTGGGTTTTGTTGATTTTTTTTGCCTGAGGTCTGACCATGCTGAGGTCTCTTGAGTTGAAGTCTTGAGCTGTGAGCGACCGTTTAATGATTTGGAGGGGAGAGATCCAATGTAACACCTCTGCCTCTCTCATCCTGCTCGGCCTCAGAATTATTATAACACTCCTATTGCCAAATTGCAGGCGTTTCGTTCAGGGCTGCGGAAAGAAACACTTTCTGTGCTTCCTCTTCTCCCCCCCCCAACATTGTGTTAACGTTTAACCCTTGGCAAACTGAAGAGGAACAGACCTAACTTGGTTTGCTGGTCCCTTTCACACAGCTGGGTTGTTACAGAGTCTCTGGCTTGAAAATTTTCATTGAAAGCCTCCGAGTTTTAGCTTTAGCAGCCCTTGAAACTTCTGTGGTAGCTTTAACATCCCCTGTTGTGTGTGAAGCTTTCAGACCCTGTGTGGCTGCTTCTGTCGGGTGGAGGAACCCCCTGGAAGTCAGTGAGTGCACCAGGAATCCCTCCTGTCACTCAGCGCCCAGCTCCTGCCAGAAATGAGTGATTTCTTTCAGGAGTGGAAGGTTTTAGCAGGGGGTTGCTTCCCACGTGGGAACTGCGTGACCTGATGCGATCAGATGCAGAAATAGATAATTCCAGGTTTCTGATACGTATCCAAAGTCCTTTTGTGAATCTGTTGGAAAGGGAGGCTTTTAATGAGCATGGGGAGCAATTCCAGCTTGTACTTTTGTACTTTGGAACCAGAAGCCCGCATACTAACAGATTTTTTGTTGTCCATTCTGTGTGCCAGACGATTGAGAGAACAGGTACGCGTGCAGTGAATTACTGCATCGAGTTCCTCTGACTCCACTGGAGGGGAATGATTTTCTCAATTTTCTCACCTTTTGGGAAGTGGCTGCCCTTTTCCGCGCGCCTCGGTGGTGGGAGTGTGGGACTGGCTCTGCACGGGAAGCTCTGACCACAAACGTGCTCCAGGTATCAGGAAAAGGGAGCGTGTAAACACGTTCTGATGTCAGACCCTGTGTCAGAGCAGGTTCCTGGCATTTGGCTGGTCACCTCGGTGACGAGCAGGAATGCTATTTTTCCATCCATCATCATATCAACACGCAAACCTGATAACGGGGGGGGGGGGGGGGGTGTTAAAAGCCCTCCAAAGGCTGTGAAATGTGCAGAGCAAAGTGAAAGTGGGAATGGTTTGATGTCTATGGAAGTGGTGTGTGGTATAAGGGAAACTCAACTGGGACAGACTGGGAGCCCTGAGGCGGTGTGGGTTGTCCCTGCTGGGAGCTCAGCTCATTTTTTAACGTTGGAAATGTTCCAAATCGCCGGTGCCGAAGTCCATCTGTGGAGGGTTAGAGCAGGGAGAGGAGCTCGGGGGAAAAGAAGGGGACTCTGTGGGCGGTGAGGTATTCTGCTGAGGGGAAGGTCCCAAACCGCTGTGAACCCCCTGTTTTTACTCAGGGCTTTGGTCTGGCTGGTTTTTCTCTTTCAGCAGCGTGTGCTGGGGTTGGGTATAATGCTCCTTGTGGTCCCTGTTGGGTCGAGAGGAAGCGGGGTTGATAAAGCAGCGGAGGGGAGGGTTGTGTGCTCTGCAGGGTGGCTCTGCCTTGGCAGTTTGCTTTCCAGGGCTTTGATCCTTGTGTCTATTTGCGCCTGCGCGGAACAGGCTTGGCCATAAATGTGGTACAACCTCTGCTCATTGTGACCTGGGGTGGCATTTGGCCCCTTTCATCTGTGTAAAAGATAGGATTATGGTTTAACGCCGAGAGTTGCAGTTGAAGAGAAGGTCCTCGATGCGACCAAACACTGGCTTTGCCAACTTTAATAATTGTATTAACTTACCAGGAGGGCTTGGTTAGGTCCATCCAAGGCTGCCCAGGGAGGTGGTTGAGTCCCCATCCCTGGCTGTGTTTAAGGGACGTTTAGATGCAGTGCTGAGGGATATGGTGTAGGGGAGGACTTTGTAGAGTAGGGGAGATGGTTGGACTCGATGATCCCAAGGGTCTCTTCCAACCTGAATGACTCTATGACTCTATGATCTGCTCTGGCTGTGTTTTAACCTGGTTGTCTGCCCCTGTGAGTTCCCTTCTGCAGTTCCAGCTGGAGAGAAGCTACATCCCCCTGGACACGGTGCTGCTCCTGAACCCCTCCTGGTGCCCAGCCCAGCGCGGCTGCGGTTCCTTTCCTCGCTGGGTAAGTCATCAGGAGGTGTGGGCAGGAGTGGGAGTTGCACCTTGAGGAACAGCTGGTTTTGGGGAGATGGTGCTCATCGATACAATCGGCTGCAAAAAATACCCCAGGACTGGGAGAAGGCGTCTGCGTGAGCATTGGGACCCACTGAGTGTGGGGAGGATGGCATTTAGCTGGGACACCTCAGGATGGGGGAACAGAAATACACTTTAGCTTTTCAGCTTTTGTCTCTCAAGCCAAACGACTCCATCAGTGAAGTGAAACCAGCCCCAAGCAGGGCTTTGCTGAACTGGTTGGTAAAACTAACACGGCGCAGTGTTGCCAGTGATTGCACCGAGGTGTTCGGGAGTGTCAGTGTTATTTTGACTAGTTGCAAATTTTTCTTTATGGCAAACTGTTTATTTGATTGTGTTTTAAAGTCTCATAATGAATCGTGGTGAGGAAACTATAAACATGTAGATATTTTTACTTTTTACAGCTCTGTGGGCACTGGGGTCAGTCCTGACAAAAGCTGATGGGGTATTTGATTTTGTCTGTCCACAGAGCTTTGTCATGGATTGTATCAGAAGTACAACTGCCCCTGGTTTGCATGATTTAGGTCTTAATTTCTTTGTGACATTATTGTCCTGTCAACAAGTGCCTTAGTCCATTCGTTTTCATGGATTAATGCCCAGCAGCAGGAACTTCTCCTTCACCTTGAAGACGAGACAGCATCAGGTGAGGAGCAGACTCTTGAGAAAGGTTCATGGTCCTGTCTCGGGTCACAGATGTCTCAGGGGTTTCTGTAACGTGTTACTCATCTTTGCTGCGCTGAGGAAAGTAGAATGGTTTTGGTGCAGTTTCAGTTCAGTCAATTTTACTCATCACTCTCGAAATGAAAATCAGAAATTCTCTATCCGTGAAGCAAAAGGTTAAATTATTCTCTACAAACTGGGAAAGTTAATGGCAAAAGAAAAGTTTCAAAGGAATCTAAGGCAAGCTCGAGGTGGAACTGGCACTGCCGTCCAGAAGAACTGATCATTCTTCACAGCTTCTTTAACTCAGCCCTTTCCTGACCCAGCTCTCCCCCGAGGTGCTGTTTTAGGGGGTGAGCTCCAGACTTCATTTGTGTATTAATCTCTCTGCTTCTTTCTACCTCCCTAATTAACCTTAGCGTGTTGTATTAGTTGGAGGCTCGGGGGAGTGAGGAGGTGGGTTTGGTTATTGGCATCTGCCTTTGCCCTCACTCTCTGCTCAGGTGATCTGCTCGCCAGGCTGTTGTCCCTGTTGCAGACATTAATTGAATGGCTGCTTGATTGGGTTCCTCCACCCTCCGATGGCCCTGTGTTGCTGTGTTCCTCATGGCTTCCTTCCAGCTTCCATGTCACGGAGAATGTTCTCTCTGGTTCATTGTTTATCAGTTTTTGAAGAAAGCTACAAGGTGGGGCATCCCTGATGCTCATCTGAGGAACCTCTAGTGTAAAGATGACTGACCTGTGGAGGTTGTGAACCGTGCTGCTGTCCCCCATTATGAACTTCTGACATCTATGGTGTTGCCATGTGATCATGTGCTACATTAATTAGTCTGCGTGCCGAGGGAAATAGGTCAGCGGGGCAGAGCTCTGCAAGGGAGTTTTGATATGAAGAGAAGTTGGTGATGAGGGTTTTGCTTCCTCTTCTCTGTGTGTGTGAGAGAGGACACACGGTTGACGGGGTTTCTAGAACATCTGTGTCCCCCCCCGAAGCAGAGGTGAACTTAGAAATGCAGAACTATTTAAACCAATCTTGCTTTGGTGAATATTCCGTGCTGCTGATAGGGTCGTTCCTCCTCACCGGTACCCCTATGTAAATATTAGAGAAGTAAATGTACCTCGAGTCTGGACTGATAAAAGCTGCCTTTTATTCCCCAGTTTGAAGATTACACTGGTGTGAAATTCTGTTTTGAAGATGTTACCCAGGTATGAAGAGGTCTTCTGCTTGTTCTTTGATGGGAGGTGAATTCCACGCACAAAAGGTGGGTTATATTTCCTTCATTATTTACTTCTTTTTTTTTTTTCCTTTTTGTTATATGTGTTTTGGGCTCCATCCAATCTCAGGTGCTGGTGTTTCTTCGCTGCTGGAAGATATTCTTGCATTTTGAATTTGAGTGAAAATGCTCATCTGCTCAATTGCCAGGTCAAACTTTTTTTTTTCTTTTCTTTTCTTTGTTGAATTTCAACAAAGAAAAGAAAAGAAAAAAAAAAGTTTGACCTGGCAATTTTCCTTCTCAGCGAACTCTAATCTAATACCTGCATAAAATAGTGTTGGAGGGGGAACTGTTGGTCCCTGGTATGGCTTTGTGAGACGTACCTGCTTTCTTCTTTGACTGTGGCTCTCTTCAGTGCTACAGAGCGTGGAGCAGCCCTTCTTGCAGTGTGTGGTGTAGCATGAGCAGTCAATGAAAGCTCCTCTGGTGATGGAGCACACACGATTGGTTTTTTTTCTCCCTTCAGAAGGTTTCTTGCTTTTAACTGATATCCCTTTTTCCCGGGGGGAGGCTCCTCCAGACAGTTCCAGATGGAAGTTTATTTGATTCCAGAGGTTCTTCACGGGCCTGGACCCTGAGAACCAGGGTGAGGTGCTCTTTGGAGGAAGCCAGGTCAGATTTCCTTGTCTTGGTTCCTCTTGTGAGGGATGTTGTGCTTTGACCGACCATCGTTTCTGTTCGCATGTTCTGTTCTACTCAGACACCCTTTCTGAAGACAGAATTTGACCTCTCAATTGGATGCTGTTGAGGTGGAAATTTCCACTTTACTGATTATTCTTTTCTTGCTTTCCGTGATGTTAATTATGCATATTTTTATACATGTAATTTGAAAGTGATTTACTTATTTTACTTTTTTGAAAGAAAACTTGATTAACTTGGTAGGAGACTTGGAGGGGAAGGGATGAGTTTTGTTACCAGTTCAGAGAAATTGTTGGGAACTAACACATGTTATAACCTAGAACTGAAAAAAACCAAAAAAGGCTTTTGGGTTTTGTGTAACAGAAATTACACAGGGGCAGAATTTTAAAAGTAGATGTTTTTTTTCAAACAAAATCAGTAGAGAAAAAAAAAATTGAGGCTGTTTTTCTCCTGAAACAGTTGATGAGTTGCTGGTGCTTCAGTTGTCCATGTGCTGTGTTAAATGCTTGATGAGAAGAGAGTGACCCCCAGGTCATGCTTTTCCATGAGAGGACTGATGCCCCCCCAGGTCTCTGCAGGCTGTTGGTGGACGTGGCCATGGATTAATTCTACTGGACTGTTTTCCATATCCACAAAAATCTTACCCTCCCTGGACTTTTTGATCCTTAGAATTAGTCATTGTCCAGTTGCCACTGTTTCTAGAGGGGTTCTTTGTTCGAGGTGCAACTGTGGGGTTATCTAGAGAGTGTTGGAGGTCTCCTGGGAAATCCTGGAGTCTTTGGAAGTGTCAAGTGTTTTCTTCCAGATTTTGGGTCCCACTACTCCATAGGCAGTGTTGGGTTCTGCCTTTGTGCTAGAGCAAAGCCAGAGCTGCTCAGCTTCTCTGATGGCTGCCCCTGAGGGGTGCAGGGCCCTGTGCTGGGTTTTTGGGGTGTGAAGAGGAACATCCTTTGCCTCTGCTGATGGAGGAGATTGTGCTGGTTCCTCTGTGTCCCTGGGGCTCTTGGAGGTCTGTCCCCAGGTGTGTCTGGACGTGGTGTGCAGGGAAAGAGCAGATGAGGGACTTGTGTTCTCCTTTACTCCCAACTGCACTGATGTCTGTTTTTGAATATTGTTAAGAAATTCGTATTTCTTAACAAATTTGCGATTTTTTAACTCACCACTGATTGTATTCCTCCCATGATATAGAAATTAGTTTGTACTGATCTGAGACAATCAGTAACTGGAATTAAAGAATGAGGGTGAGGAGGCTTGATAAGAACTTAGAACACAAGTATGTAAACATGGATTTTTTTTATTAAATAAATTTTGTATTGAGTTTTATTTTAGCAATGAAAAGCAATTTCAACAGTTCCACAATTTCATCAAATTCCATGTGTTTTCTTTTCTCAGGGCTGGACTCATCACCGAGAAATACCCATCAGCAAACAAAGAAATGCTTCTGTGTTTCTGTAGGGAACCGAGATAAAGCTGGAAGCACAATGGGACCCTTCTCAAATACCCAGGTCTTTGCCTGTGTCTGCATGTTCCTGCTCTGGAATAATATCCAGCCAAGTGTGGAAAATGAATTTATTGCAAATTATTCAAGCCGTTTGCTCACCAGTGTTCCAAACACCATTCCAGTCCATACTCAGGTGTTAGATCTATCCCATAATAGGATCTCTGGACTTAGTGCCTCGGAGTTTATTTCTCTTTCTGACCTCCGAGTGTTAAATCTTTCTCATAATCTAATTACGGAGCTCGACTTCGGCGTCTTCTTTTTCAATCAAGACTTAGAACACTTGGATTTGTCTCATAACAGCATTTTGAAAGTTTACTGCCTGACTCTCGCCTCCCTCAGGCACTTGGATCTCTCTTTCACCAAGTTGGCTGCCCTGCCCCTCTGTCAGGAATTGGGGCAGATGTCCCGTTTGGAGTTCCTGGGGCTGAGCGCCGCGACGCTGCGACGCTCCCACTTCAGGTACCTCACGGGTTTGCGGCTCCGCAAGGTCCTCCTGACCTTGGAAGACTTCTCCCTCTACGAGCCTCAGAGCCTGAGGGCCCTGGACACGAGGAGCCTCCACCTTGTTTTTGCAGGAAACCAAAACTTCAGTTTTCCCCTCCTGTACGACGGAATGAGCACTTCAGAAACCTTAAGGATTGATAATTTAAGATACACCTTGAGCTCTGGCTATTTCCCCTCTCCTCCTTTAACGCTTCTGAAGGAGATCAAGACAACAGCTCTGATGCTGGACACCGTGGACTTACAATGGCCTGTCATTTTGCAGATTTTCCTGCTGGTTTGGTATTCGCCTGTGGAACGTCTGACTGTGAGACATTTGACTTTTTGGGGACCCGTGGAGGAGCTGCCCGGATATGAATTTCTACCTTTATTAAGTTCTCTGGAGGAAAGAATTTCTCTGAGTGGCTCCATGAAGGCGCTGACTTTGGAGCACGTTCGGAACAAGGTTTATTATTTCAACCAGGAGGTTCTGTACCGACAGTTTTCGGAGATGCCTCTTGCCAGCTTGACCATCTTCGATGCCTCCATGCCCCACATGCTCTGCCCCAACAGAACAAGCTCCTTCCAGTACTTAAATTTTTCTCACAACGCCCTGACGGATGAATTGTTCCAGAACTGTGGCACTCTGACAGACCTGAAGTTCCTTGTTTTACAGAGGAATAAATTGGAGAGCCTTCCCAAGGTCAGCTTCATGACCAGCCGTATGAAGTCGCTGAAGTTCTTGGACGTGAGCAGCAACTTGCTGAGCTACGATGGGCCTGCTGAGCCGTGCCGCTGGGCCCAGTCCCTCTCGGAGCTGGACCTGTCCTCCAACCAGCTGACGGATGCCGTGTTTGAGTGCTTGCCAGTCAACGTGCAGAAGCTGGAGCTGCAGAACAACCAGATCAGCAGTGTCCCCAGGGGGATGGCGGAGCTGAAGTCCTTGAGAGAGCTGAACCTGGCGTCCAACCGCCTGGCTGACCTGCCGGGCTGCGGGGGCTTCCCGTCGCTGGCCTTCCTGAACGTGGAGATGAACGTGATCCTCACCCCGTTGGTGGACTTCTTCCAGAGCTGCCCGCGGGTGAGGGAGCTGCAGGGCGGGCACAACCCCTTCAAGTGCTCCTGTGAGCTGCAGGCCTTTGTGCGGCTGGAGAGGCGCTCTGGGGGGAAGCTGTTTGGCTGGCCGGGGGCCTACGTGTGCGAGTACCCGGAGGAGCTGCGAGGAAGGCTCCTGGAGGACTTCCACCTGGCCGAGCTGGCCTGCAACACCACGCTCCTGCTGGTGACGGCTCTGGTGGTGACGCTGGCGCTGGTGGCCGTGGTGGCCTTTCTGTGCATCTACCTGGACGTGCCGTGGTACGCGCGGATGACGTGGCAGTGGACGCAGACGAAGCGGAGAGCTCGGCACCAGCAGCCCCAGGAGCAGGAGGGGGCTCTGCAGTTCCACGCCTTCGTGTCCTACAGCGAGCGGGACGCGGCGTGGGTGAAGGAGGAGCTGATGCCCAACCTGGAGAGGGGGGAGGGCCGCGTCCAGCTGTGCCAGCACGAGAGGAACTTCATCCCCGGCAAGAGCATCGTGGAGAACATCATCACCTGCATCGAGAAGAGCTACAGGTCCATCTTTGTGCTGTCTCCCAACTTTGTGCAGAGCGAGTGGTGTCACTACGAGCTGTACTTTGCCCACCACAAGCTCTTCAGCGAGACTTCCAACAGCTTAATCCTCATTTTGCTGGAGCCCATCCCTCCGTACGTGATCCCCGCCAGGTACCACAAGCTGAAGGCTCTGATGGCCAAGCGAACCTACCTGGAGTGGCCCAAGGAGAGGAGCAAGCAGCCCCTTTTCTGGGCCAACCTGCGGGCAGCCATTAACGTGAAGCTGCCAGTGGCTGATGGACAGAGGTGTGGGGAAACAGATTAGGAATCTTGCTCATGGAGTTTCTTCTGCTTTTTTTTATTCTGGGTGAAGCAATAAATGCTTTATCATTTCCAGTGGTTGTTGATGTATTTAACTTTTTCTTACAGAACCTTGTTTTTCTAGAGTCGTTTGTGCCGCCTCCTAACTGTAGGCAAAATTCAGCTCAGCATCCTGGTGTTCTCTGGTGATTGATACAGAGATAGCAGATGGACAGGAGTTTGGATGTGGGTTTTGCAACCCAGCTTGACATACTGCAGGGAATTTTTCTCAGCAGAATAAAATGTGGTGCAGTCACATGGAGGAATGCTTGAGTTTCTGCAGAGTTTGCAGAGCTGCATTGGTCCCAGGGCGTTGGCAGCTGGGTCACAGGACCTCTTTTGCTAGAATCGGCTTGTAAGAGAGGAAATAAGGCATCCTGAGAAGGTGTCTCAAAGTGCAGAGCTTGAGATTGTTCCTGGGTAGAATTTTCTCAGATTCAGTGAAGATTAAAAGGGTAGGACCCAGATACAGGATTCTGTGAACATCCAGCGTAGGTGGACAAACGTGGCCATGCTACAAGAGAGAAACTCAACCCCTACATCTTACTTTATGCTCATGATGAAAAGAATGTGTCCTTTTTCAGATGGAACAGTATCTTTTCCAGCACAGCTACGAGTTCTGATCAGAAAGGGAATAACCCCTCTGAGGCTGAAAAGACCTGCCATGTCTTGTGACAGCAGGTGAGACGCTGCGTTCACGGGGGCAGAAGGACAAGCTGCATTTGGGGTATTTGCTGTCCTTCCTAGAAATGCAGCAGGCCCCGTTACCCATAACTTGGGCTGCTTTGGCTTCTAGAAAGTTTGCTCTCTGGCAAACATTTCACAACTACTAAAGATGATCTCATTCTTGTCTTCCCTTATTCTTAACAAATGACTTTTAATTTAGCTTTGGGTTTTGTTTTTTTTTTTTGCCTGAGGTCTGACCATGCTGAGGTCTCTTGAGTTGAAGTCTTGAGCTGTGAGCGACCATTTAATGATTTGGAGGGGAGAGATCCAATGTAACACCTCTGCCTCTCTCATCCTGCTCGGCCTCAGAATTATTATAACACTCCTATTGCCAAATTGCAGGCGTTTCGTTCAGGGCTGCGGAAAGAAACACTTTCTGTGCTTCCTCTTCTCCCCCCCCCAACATTGTGTTAACATTTAACCCTTGGCAAACTGAAGAGGAACAGACCTAACTTGGTTTGCTGGTCCCTTTCACACAGCTGGGTTGTTACAGAGTCTCTGGCTTGAAAATTTTCATTGAAAGCCTCCGAGTTTTAGCTTTAGCAGCCCTTGAAACTTCTGTGGTAGCTTTAACATCCCCTGTTGTGTGTGAAGCTTTCAGACCCTGTGTGGCTGCTTCTGTCGGGTGGAGGAACCCCCTGGAAGTCAGTGAGTGCACCAGGAATCCCTCCTGTCACTCAGCGCCCAGCTCCTGCCAGAAATGAGTGATTTCTTTCAGGAGTGGAAGGTTTTAGCAGGGGGTTGCTTCCCACGTGGGAACTGCGTGACCTGATGCGATCAGATGCAGAAATAGATAATTCCAGGTTTCTGATACGTATCCAAAGTCCTTTTGTGAATCTGTTGGAAAGGGAGGCTTTTAATGAGCATGGGGAGCAATTCCAGCTTGTACTTTTGTACTTTGGAACCAGAAGCCCGCATACTAACAGATTTTTTGTTGTCCATTCTGTGTGCCAGACGATTGAGAGAACAGGTACGCGTGCAGTGAATTACTGCATCGAGTTCCTCTGACTCCACTGGAGGGGAATGATTTTCTCAATTTTCTCACCTTTTGGGAAGTGGCTGCCCTTTTCCGCGCGCCTCGGTGGTGGGAGTGTGGGACTGGCTCTGCACGGGAAGCTCTGACCGCGAACGTGCTCCAGGTATGAGGAAAAGGGAGCGTGTAAACACATTCTGATGTCAGACCCTGTGTCAGAGCAGGTTCCTGGCATTTGGCTGGTCACCTCGGTGACGAGCAGGAATGCTATTTTTCCATCCATCATCATATCAACACGCAAACCTGATAACGGGGGGTCATCAGGAGGTGTGGGCAGGAGTGGGAGTTGCACCTTGAGGAACAGCTGGTTTTGGGGAGATGGTGCTCATCGATACAATCGGCTGCAAAAAATACCCCAGGACTGGGAGAAGGCGTCTGCGTGAGCATCGGGACACGCTGAGTGTGGGGAGGATGGCATTTAGCTGGGACACCTCAGGATGGGGGAACAGAAATACACTTTAGCTTTTCAGCTTTTGTCTCTCAAGCCAAACGACTCCATCAGTGAAGTGAAACCAGCCCCAAGCAGGGCTTTGCTGAACTGGTTGGTAAAACTAACACGGCGCAGTGTTGCCAGTGATTGCACCGAGGTGTTCGGGAGTGTCAGTGTTATTTTGACTAGTTGCAAATTTTTCTTTATGGCAAACTGTTTATTTGATTGTGTTTTAAAGTCTCATAATGAATCGTGGTGAGGAAACTATAAACATGTAGATATTTTTACTTTTTACAGCTCTGTGGGCACTGGGGTCAGTCCTGACAAAAGCTGATGGGGTATTTGATTTTGTCTGTCCACAGAGCTTTGTCATGGATTGTATCAGAAGTACAACTGCCCCTGGTTTGCATGATTTAGGTCTTAATTTCTTTGTGACATTATTGTCCTGTCAACAAGTGCCTTAGTCCATTCGTTTTCATGGATTAATGCCCAGCAGCAGGAACTTCTCCTTCACCTTGAAGACGAGACAGCATCAGGTGAGGAGCAGACTCTTGAGAAAGGTTCATGGTCCTGTCTCGGGTCACAGATGTCTCAGGGGTTTCTGTAACGTGTTACTCATCTTTGCTGCGCTGAGGAAAGTAGAATGGTTTTGGTGCAGTTTCAGTTCAGTCAATTTTACTCATCACTCTCGAAATGAAAATCAGAAATTCTCTATCCGTGAAGCAAAAGGTTAAATTATTCTCTACAAACTGGGAAAGTTAATGGCAAAAGAAAAGTTTCAAAGGAATCTAAGGCAAGCTCGAGGTGGAACTGGCACTGCCGTCCAGAAGAACTGATCATTCTTCACAGCTTCTTTAACTCAGCCCTTTCCTGACCCAGCTCTCCCCCGAGGTGCTGTTTTAGGGGGTGAGCTCCAGACTTCATTTGTGTATTAATCTCTCTGCTTCTTTCTACCTCCCTAATTAACCTTAGCGTGTTGTATTAGTTGGAGGCTCGGGGGAGTGAGGAGGTGGGTTTGGTTATTGGCATCTGCCTTTGCCCTCACTCTCTGCTCAGGTGATCTGCTCGCCAGGCTGTTGTCCCTGTTGCAGACATTAATTGAATGGCTGCTTGATTGGGTTCCTCCACCCTCCGATGGCCCTGTGTTGCTGTGTTCCTCATGGCTTCCTTCCAGCTTCCATGTCACGGAGAATGTTCTCTCTGGTTCATTGTTTATCAGTTTTTGAAGAAAGCTACAAGGTGGGACATCCCTGATGCTCATCTGAGGAACCTCTAGTGTAAAGATGACTGACCTGTGGAGGTTGTGAACCGTGCTGCTGTCCCCCATTATGAACTTCTGACATCTATGGTGTTGCCATGTGATCATGTGCTACATTAATTAGTCTGCGTGCCGAGGGAAATAGGTCAGCGGGGCAGAGCTCTGCAAGGGAGTTTTGATATGAAGAGAAGTTGGTGATGAGGGTTTTGCTTCCTCTTCTCTGTGTGTGTGAAAGAGGACACACGGTTGACGGGGTTTCTAGAACATCTGTGTCCCCCCCCGAAGCAGAGGTGAACTTAGAAATGCAGAACTATTTAAACCAATCTTGCTTTGGTGAATATTCCGTGCTGCTGATAGGGTCGTTCCTCCTCACCGGTACCCCTATGTAAATATTAGAGAAGTAAATGTACCTCGAGTCTGGACTGATAAAAGCTGCCTTTTATTCCCCAGTTTGAAGATTACACTGGTGTGAAATTCTGTTTTGAAGATGTTACCCAGGTATGAAGAGGTCTTCTGCTTGTTCTTTGATGGGAGGTGAATTCCACGCACAAAAGGTGGGTTATATTTCCTTCATTATTTACTTCTTTTTTTTTTTTCCTTTTTGTTATATGTGTTTTGGGCTCCATCCAATCTCAGGTGCTGGTGTTTCTTCGCTGCTGGAAGATATTCTTGCATTTTGAATTTGAGTGAAAATGCTCATCTGCTCAATTGCCAGGTCAAACTTTTTTTTTTCTTTTCTTTTCTTTGTTGAATTTCAACAAAGAAAAGAAAAGAAAAAAAAAAGTTTGACCTGGCAATTTTCCTTCTCAGCGAACTCTAATCTAATACCTGCATAAAATAGTGTTGGAGGGGGAACTGTTGGTCCCTGGTATGGCTTTGTGAGACGTACCTGCTTTCTTCTTTGACTGTGGCTCTCTTCAGTGCTACAGAGCGTGGAGCAGCCCTTCTTGCAGTGTGTGGTGTAGCATGAGCAGTCAATGAAAGCTCCTCTGGTGATGGAGCACACACGATTGGTTTTTTTTCTCCCTTCAGAAGGTTTCTTGCTTTTAACTGATATCCCTTTTTCCCGGGGGGAGGCTCCTCCAGACAGTTCCAGATGGAAGTTTATTTGATTCCAGAGGTTCTTCACCAGCCTGGACCCTGAGAACCAGGGTGAGGTGCTCTTTGGAGGAAGCCAGGTCAGATTTCCTTGTCTTGGTTCCTCTTGTGAGGGATGTTGTGCTTTGACCGACCATCGTTTCTGTTCGCATGTTCTGTTCTACTCAGACACCCTTTCTGAAGACAGAATTTGACCTCTCAATTGGATGCTGTTGAGGTGGAAATTTCCACTTTACTGATTATTCTTTTCTTGCTTTCCGTGATGTTAATTATGCATATTTTTATACATGTAATTTGAAAGTGATTTACTTATTTTACTTTTTTGAAAGAAAACTTGATTAACTTGGTAGGAGACTTGGAGGGGAAGGGATGAGTTTTGTTACCAGTTCAGAGAAATTGTTGGGAACTAACACATGTTATAACCTAGAACTGAAAAAAACCAAAAAAGGCTTTTGGGTTTTGTGTAACAGAAATTACACAGGGGCAGAATT